CTCTGAAAATGCTGTGGCCCCTGGAGAAGTCCACACACCCCACCCTGCCAGAGAGGAGGCTGGGGATGCACGAGGGTTTTGGAAGGACACGGCTGTGACATCTGACCCCAAGTGACCACAGGGATGTTCCACACCATGTGGCATCAAGTTCAGAATGTAAAGCTGGGGGTAAGAAGGAAGGAGGGACGTTTGGTGATGGTGTTTGCCCTCCCAAGTTGCCATTTCATGTGATGGAGCCCTGCTTTCCTGGGAAGGCTGAACACCTGCCTGCCCACGGGAAGTGGGGGATTAACTCTGCACTGTGCTTTGCTCACACACACGGCTTGTGCTTTACCTGCTTTACCTGTTAAACTGTCTTTATTTCAACCCACGAGTTTTCTCACACCCTCCCAGTTCTCTCACTCCCATCCCCAGTGAGTGAGGGGCTCCGTGGGGCTGAGTTGCCAGCACGGGTTAAACCACAACATTTTCCCACCACCACTATCTCCAGAGCTGCTGTACAGTCTGACTCTGTGGCATCACCAGCCCTATGGTTACACACACAACTGGTTTTGCCCCAGCAGGTGAGGATACCAGGCATTGTGGCATGGGTTTTCCTGCTTTGCCTGTGCCTGGATTAAGAGCAGAGGAGGAGCTGGTCCGCAGGGGACTGGCTGGGGTCTTCGCTGGCAGCCTGCTTCCACCCACACAGGAACACCAGGCACTTCACAGCCTCTACATATGATAAAAACATGTCCCATGGGTACCTAATCTTACCTTGCTATTCTGCAGTGCTTGTGTTACTAAGCTGAAAAAACACACGACAGCACATTCCATGGTGGGCTCGCACTGCCCTGTCCTCTCTCTCTGAAGTCACCTTGCAGCATTTAACCTGCAGGACTACACTGACTAAACATCAGTGCCCTCAGGCTGGGAAGTAACAACTGGAAAAATACAGCCAGCTGTTCATAAAAAGGCAGAGAGGTGCAGGGAGTGACAGCTGAGAACACTGGGATGGCTCTGTGCTCTCACAGGAAGGTGTGACAGGAGAGTTCATGTCCACACACACAGAGACTCTGCATTTAAACTATCATCATCTAAAAGACTCTTTGCAGAAATAGTTTCATAGTACTCATCCTATCTTCACTGTGAGGGTGGTGAGGCCCTGGCACAGGTTGCCCAGAGAAGCTGTGGATGCCCCATCCCTGCAAGTGTCCAAGGCCAGGTTGGATAGAGCTCTGAGCAACCTGGGCTAGTGGAAGGGTTGGAACTGGATGGTCTTTAAGGTCTCTTTGAACCCAAACCAGTCTGTGATTCTGTGATCTCGGCAGGGATGCAGCACTCAGGTTTTGCTTCTGGGCACTTGGGAGGAGGGATCTTTTATGACCACAGTCTTACCCCACAGAGAATTTTTTTCTCAGAGGAGATAATCTGGTTTTAAAATGTTCCTGATTCTGCTGTACCAAGTGGGAAGGAAAACCACATTTTTCCTCCCATGTAATTTAATAATCAAAATGGCTTTATCAAAGCAGTTGAAGCTCCACAGCAGGGTTTGAGAGGATATCAGGAGAAGAAGGGTTAGCAATGCTCTGGGAAAGCCAGGCAGATAATTCAGGGCCATTTTGCTATAAGGGCATGAGGTTAAAACTGCTGCTGGTCAAGCTGAATTGGACAGTGAGTTGGAATACTGGTGTTAGTACCTGCTATCTGAATTATGTGGGTAAACTGGGAAAAAAGGAGGCTGTTACTTGCTGTTAAACATATTTTTCACCTTTTTGATACATTTGGTGTAAAAGTCTTACTTCAATGCAAAACTGCAGTGCAGCCGAAGCATGACATGTTCCATCTGACCAAAACGTGAATTTTATGCAGGTCCACTCCCCATAATGTCTTACCAAAAACAGATAAAGAATTTAATTGCTCGTGGCCAGAGCCCACTGGCACTTCTGAGCAGGGGCTGTGTTTGGTGATGAGCCTCACTCAGCAGGGATCTGTCTGATGGAGTGAGGCACTCGGGGTGAGGTGCACCAGCCCAAGCCTGTCCAAGGCAGAAACGGGTTGGAAAAGTTACATTTCTGTTACTGCATTGAAGCAGCCATTCACACCCACCTACTTCAGGAGAGGTCAGCATTTGCTTGTACATCCCATGGAGTTTTCAGTACCTCTGATGAGCCTCCTTTGGTGGTGCATCTGCTGCTGTTGGCTGTGGGCAGAGCGGTGCTCCAGAGTCAGCAGGAGAAAAGCAGACCTGCTGGCTTTTTTTTCCCACCCTTCACAGGTCAGGCCTGCTTTGCTTGCCCCATGGGGCTGATCCACTCATTCCTGTACCCTGACAGGTCCAAAAGGCAGCAGTCTCACTGTGAATCAGCGTGTCCTTCACTCCAGTTTCCCCGGGGACATGAAGTGTCTGTTACAGATACAGGGAATACAGGGGTGGGTGGTGCCCTGAGGACACGTGCCCTGTTTGCTTGGGCACACAAACCCAGATGGATACCACCAGAGGAAGCAGTGGCTTTCCAAAGTCTGGGATTCAGCAGGTGTGAAAAAAGCTATAGCATATTTTTAGCTCCTGAAAGAGCAGTGCAACCCGCAGTGTAAACACCACTTGGCTTTTCCTCTAAACAGGGGTAGATTTTTTGTCAAGGCTGAGGCAGGGTGGTGGCAGGTGAGTTGGCTGTTCTTGCTGCCCCACCATGAGTCAGGACCTCCAGGCTCTCCCCTCATTCACCATCCTCCAGCACCACGGCTGCTGGGTGATTTGGCATTTGGCACTGAACAAAGCAGTGGCTGGACTAGTGGCTCTCCTCCACCGTTCCCCTGACCTTGGGGAAGGCACAGGAATGGTCCGAATGGTCCAAATATTCAGGAGCTGCTGTTTGATACAGCACCCACACCCAGGTGAGCATCCCTTGCCTGCATTCCTCCCTCCCAGCCACACCTATCACACGTTGCCCTCCCCATTACAGGTACCTAGAAAAACAAGCCAGAAAACTGATTTCACTGATGAGGGAATGTGGTGTGGGGGGAAAAGCTGCATTTTAGCCAGGCATGGTCTGCATGTTCACTGTGCAGAACTAGGGCAGCTCTGGGGACAAGATGGGCCCTGGCAGGCAGGACAGCAGTGTGGGTGGCTGAAGGCAAGGGCAAGGGCATGGCTGCAGCAGAGCTTTGTCAGGGGCTGAGGGAGAGATCCCAGGCTCTGTGGGACCCCTCCACACACAGAGCATCCCCACTGTGTGCACTGAACCCTGTGGCAAACAGTGCCAGCACCCTGGTGCAGGCTGGACTCCTTGTGCCCTGGCAGGGGCTGTGTCCCTTCCCTCTCCACAGCTCCACTTCTGATAAGTCCATCCAGATAACGAGCACCTTTAGGAATATTCCATGAGCAAAGCTCAAACACGTCTGCCTTCCCCTTGCAGTGGCAAAAGGCAGCAGCACTTCCACCAGCAACACAAGTCTGGTTTGGTGGTGGGTGGTGGGGCTTTTTTTTCTTTTTTTTTTTTCCCCAAAGGGAATTTATTGCTTTCATAAGGCAGCTTTCTGGACTGAAGTCCTCCCTTTATCTCCAGAGCCAGAACAGCTGATTGTACCCAGTAATTTTCCTGCTGGTGTCCCACGAGGGGGGGCAGCCCCACAGCTCAGTCCCAGGGGTGCCATTAGGCTGTGACTCAGCTGCCAGGACATCTTGCAAAAGTGGGGTGTGGGTTCTCGGTGCCCAAACCTGGGGGCTGCTGCTCACAGGGCACCGAGGAGCCCTGGATGTTTCTCTTAACAGCTGCACTGGCTAAAACCTGTGATCTGGTTTAGAACCTGGTCTTCTTCACAGGGTATTTCTTAACCTGCTCAGGACTGTGGTCACAGCCCGGCAGCAGGAGCAGGAGCCTCCATCCTGCTGGCAGGTGGAACTTGATCCCACACACTGCCAGCTGCTCACTGTGCCTGGTTAGCCTTTGGCCTTATGCTGAAATGGTCTTTTCTTGCACAGGTGAGCCTGGGAGCAACGCTGGCCTTTGGCCCACTGGGCTGTGATATCAGGATCCTTTTGTCCCCCCTCTGAGTGGACTGCCAAAAGGTGAAGGTGAGGCAGTGATCTGCACTTGCTGCTGGCAATGGCAGCATTTCAAGTATCACATGAGAAGATTGTGTCAGATAAAGAAGATAAAGCTGATGACAGAGCACCCTGTGTGCGTGAGGAGATACCTGAACACCAAGAGTGAAAGCAAGGAGATCATGCTGGCAGGACTGGCCCCAGCTCCAGAGGCAGGCAGAGGAAGCCCCCCTCTACCTATTTCCCCCCCTGGCCTTTCTCTGTGTCTCTCAGATGGAACAATATCCTAATGAGACTGGCCAACAGGGCCCTCAGCTCTCTGGACATGGCTGAGCAAGGGCTGACCACATAAGGAAACAGGACCAAAAAACCAAGGGATGAGTGGTTTACTCACTTGCCCAGCAGATATAAAACCACCTTCATCGTGGTTTAACCTGAGCAACTGACCAAGACACCCAGTGACAGCACAAATAAAAAGCTCTGAAGTGACACAGACATTCCCTTCGGTTCCTCCCAGCTGTTCCTGATACACAGAACAACACCCACACAACTCATGAGCTCATGCACCTTTTAATATCACAGCCTCACCACAATCCCCAGAGGACATTGCCTTCCCACAGAAACGCAGGCTGGCCCGTGCCCCTCGCATTTATTCAGGAATCTCTGTCCAACTGACCACACAGGAACTGCAGCAGTGGCACCTGAGCCCTCGCTCTGCATCCCTCCCTTCATACCCTGCTCAGAAACACCAGCATTGGTCTAAAGCCATCCATGAGAAGCAGAGGATGGGCTGGCTCACCCACAGTCCTGACGTGCCAACAGCTCTCTGATGACAGCAGGAAAGAACTGCAGAGTCTCACAGTCCACACACTGAAAGCAAGGGGTCTTCTGCAGCACACACAAATTTTACAGTCTAACACACTTATAAACTTGAACCGGCATTAAAAACGAAACAAAAACAACAACCCTAGAGTCATTCTGCAATCAAACAAGTTTTTATTGAACTCTTTATATTGTATGTTTGTGAACATTTGTGCAATAAATACAGCTCGTAGTATTGATTTTATTTTTTTTCCCAGCTCCTTAAAACATAAGAATTCTTCCCTTTGTCGTTGTGGTGTGTTGATGCTACACAGTAAGAAAGGCTGTTGGATGACAGGGATAAGGCAGCTCCTGACAGTGAGTGTTGTGTGAAATTCGTAACAGCAAGCAGAAGTTTTCAGAAATGAGCTTGGTGGGCAAATGAGACTGGTCTGGCTGCTTAGAGGAACCTCTGCTAGCCAGAGTTCTAGAGTCAGCCACAGCTTGTGCAAGAAGTGGGATATAACATTGAACAAAACTTAAACATGATCCTTAAGTCATTGCCTGATGATTGCTTGTAAAATATTGTACAGATTTTACTGGATAATTGTCTTCAGGTGAGAAAATTAAAGCATTATTGTGGAGCCAACATGAGACCAAAAGGACTGATATTCTCTTACAGTGACACACAAATACAGCATAAATTGTTAATACAAATATCCATGTGCAAAATAGTTCTCAGGTTTAGTCAGCACTTGCATAACCAGCACAGGTAAACAGGAGATGCAAGGCACCCACTTCAGAAAAAATTAATAATACAGTTCTGTTCAAGCTCTGGCCTTGAGCTTCAGGTTAAAGACTGAACAAACCACAATGTCTTTCTTGGTCCTCAGAGTATTTGAAACAAAGATGAGCCCAGTGTTAATACAGCCCTACCAAGACCAACCAGGACCAGGCCAGCAATGAGGTTCTCAGATATGCAAAAAAGCATCACACTTATAACAAGCTTTTGCAGGGGGAACTTCAGCCCTGCAGGATTCCCTGTCCCCTTCTCTTTGCTGCCTTCGTCCCTGCTATGGGTAAGAGCTCTGGAAAGTTTTTCAGTCATTCAGCAACTCCATTTATTTCCCCAATTCCTGTGGTCACACAGGGTTGCTACTGTGAATGAGAGGGGCTGGTGGCTGCCTTTTCCTCCCTGTGCCAGTGTAGAACAGGAGACAGCTCCTGTTCTTAACAAACCACATGGGCAGAGGGGAGCAGGTGGATTTCTTTGGATCCTTTGGCTTACTTGGATTGCTCCAGACTCACGTTCCCTCTGCCCTACCAGCTCTAACCACCCCTTATTTCTCAGTCCACCATACTGCCTGTTTTCATGACACTATTGAGATTGAGGTATGAACAGTAAACTAAGAAAAACAGATTTGAATCTTTACACTTCTTTCTTGCCCACTAATTGTCTGGCCCACCTCCAACTGTTTTCTTGTGGTGCTGTTCCAAAAAAAGCAACTTTGGGAACCTCCTTCTACCTCCTTCACATTTCTTGCAGAATTCAGTTAGGTTGGGACATGGAGCTTTTACAGGGAAAAGGGAAAAACCCCCAACTACTCAAGCACCTCCCTCCCTGCTGCCGTCAGCAAAGGTCAGATGGAAAATTTGGGGGGGAGGCGGGGTGAGGATCAGATAAAAGTCAGTAAAGTAAACATTCAAAAGCAGCAGTAATGCCAAAATTTAGCAGCAGTGACAGCTACGATTGCAGCAAACACTTCAGGTTGTAACATCTAGTGAAGTACTCAGGTTCTCTTTCAAGTGTGGGAATCAAAGGATGCAGTGAAAATACAAGTAATCAAAGAAATAAGTCTCTTGAGCTTCCCTGTAAATTAAGAATAGACATGGAAATGTATGTGGCAACAGTATTTGAAGTAACTGTGAAAGGGGTTTAGAAGCTCGGCTGAAATACTGATGTCTCAGGGGGTACAACTGACCACTCACAGACTCTCAACACCGAGAAAAAAGGATGCCACAAGCTCTAGAATCAAACATCCTGCCCTTAACTGCTATAAGTTATTTATGACCCCTTGTGAAGAAGCTGAAAAATACAGCTTGAAAGCTGAGTTATGAGGCTCTGCCAAGCAGCAACAGGGGTAGGACAGAGCTGTTCAGCCTAGAAAAGCTAATACAGGCTTGAAAACCATGGTTTTAATACACAGGTAACACACACTTCTGATACTCACATGAGCTCAGCTTTCCACAGTGAGAGGGAACAGTGAGAGAGAAGTCACTGCACAGCAAAAGGGGAAAAAATATTATAAAAATCAACCACACTTTACAACGAATTATTACTGAACTTGTATATTTTTAGATTTTTTAGTAGTTTATTCCAGAGCCTTGAGAAAAATAGTCTTATAACCTAGGGAAGTATATGAATTTACTTGTTAAACTACATGTTAACTCAGCAATAGCCCTAATCTGAAGGGGTAGCCAATGTCTAAGGAAATAAATTGAACAAGGGCAGAATAAACTCAGCATGGCACAAAGCCGACTTTACTATCCAACCAGCAATAGCCCCAGCCTAAATAATTGGGTTTTTTTTAACTTGAGTGGAGAGACAAGCCAAGAAAAATGTCACTCTTGCTGATCAAAAATGCTCTTCTTGGCAAAAGGCCAGTCAGAAGATGATCAGGGCAGTCTTTATGAAGGTCAAGAACAGCTACTTTTCTCCTGTCCCCAGAGGGAGACTCCATTCACTGAGAGCAGTGGCTGCACAGTTGGGGCAGCTGGTGCCAAACTGTGCCAGGGCCATGCACACAAAACATGACTGAAGAGCCCAGAGCTACAGAAACAGTGAAAAGTTTCTGTCCTACTGCACATCACTCCTGTGTACTCTTGACAATACCATTCCACACCATGTTTGGCATTCACTTCCATACTTGGCTACAGTGAATCCACCTAATGGCAGGGTTTTTCTCCTGGAATAAGGCACTATAGTGTAGGAGCACCTGAGCAAAACTTGGAAGAGTTTACAGCTCTTGCCAGATTACCTTTGGCTCTTCTAAAACAGGCACAAAAAAAGCACTTTAAGATAAATGAAAAGGTGGGGAGACAACGGGAAGATAACAGATGAAACAGTGTGATTTTAAAAAGCCTTCAGGCAAGAAGCTTGATCCTTTTAAATCTTTCCATTTATGTTTACTTATCAGGGTGCCATTGGAAAAAAAACAGGTCTGTCTTCACAGGGAAAGCTGGTGCACCATGAAAAACAAAACCACTAGTTTATGGTTGTCACTTCACTGCCATGTTTCTACTCAAACTAGTTTTTCCTCAGAATAGATGGTTGAAGAAAGTCTCAGCTGCAACCCCCAGGATTTCCTCTTGTTTTACACTGATGCCACCAAAAGGGAAACCCTCCTTTTTTTATCCCCATGCCCCAGGTCCCACTTTTGTCTCCACACAGGCAATATCTACCTTAACCCCTCTGCATGGAGAAATTATCTGAAACTTTCCAGAGCTCTCTTGGGCATCTGCTTCATTAACTCTTTATTTCAACACATTTTATGAGTCTGAAACAATCTTTTCGGAAGCCAGACTTTAGACATAACAAGGAACATACCAGTTAACTTAGGCAACATTTTTTACACACACATATATATAGATATATGTATATATATAGGTAAAAAAATAAAATTGTCTTGATAAGAAACATTGTGTAAGCTGATTAAGAAACAAGTCCCCGGAAGCTGTGCAATACAGCAAGAGACATTGGCTGTAGAGATGACACCAGGATAGCTCACTGCTTATTTTCAGAATTTAAAAAAAAAACAAACCACACAACAAAAAACACCCTAAGACCATTCTACTCAAGGCCATTCTACTAAAGAAATAAACCTGATTCCTTGTTGGAGATTGCAAAACGTTGGTGAAGAGGCTCCACGTCGCCGCTCGGCTTTAGTTGGATTTCCTCTCCCGCTCCCGTGCGGTCACAAAGTTCAGCAGGTCAATGGCTGTGACGATGCCAAACACCATTTGCCTCTTGCTGGAGGAGCCATCAGTGTGATCTGCACGGAAACAAATGGAATTCTGGCTTTTAGCAGGCACAAACCCACATATCCCACTTGGTTTTAATGGCACGGCTTGTAAAGGCAGGAGCCAAACCATCCCAGCTCCACGTGGCAGGGCCTGGAGCTGGTGATCACTGGGGACCCTGGAACACAGGGGGAACACAAAGGGCATCTTGGCCAACAGTCACAGAGGAAGTGACAAGGATTTTCAGTTCAGAAGGGCTCTCAACAAAACTGCAACATTATGGAAGGAAGGATAAGGGGCCACCAGATTTTCTCTTTCTGACATGAAAATTCAAACCACACCCTCTGTTATAAAGTGTATTTTCCTCATACATTAGTTTCTGTGGCTCTACTTGAAACAGCTGCAAGTGACATTATCCCAGTGGAACCAGGGGCCACTTGAATGGCCCAAAGGAGTCACATTTTGAGGAGGAAATGTGACACTGCCATCTCTGTGTGCTGCTGTCAAATACAGAACCAGTACAAAGATAACAATACAACATTTTAGCAATTATATCGAAAAAACTTAGTAACCATTTAATCTTTGCTGCATTGAGAGCACAGATGGAAGTGATTTTTTTTCATTTTGAGCATAAGCCTTTGACCTGGGAACAAAGTGGCCACATGACCTCTGGCCCTTTAACTACGGTCCAAGTTCTCTGTTTCTAAAGTCTGGCTGTACTGAGATGTTTAGTCTACTTTACACTCAGTTTGTTCAGCCAGCTGGATTGTCCTGGGCTTTACATTTACTCAGTCTCTGTTCCACTGCAAGCTTCCAGTGAGATTTTAGATTTATAAATAGTCAGCACAGAGCCAAGAGCACATCCTTATGGAGATTATCAGGAACAACTCCAAATTTGATGTCTATTCTTCTCACAGTTATAATTGAGATAGCTATCAGATAAATTTATCTGGTGAGTCTTAATGTTGTTTTTAGTCTAGTTTCTCAGAGTTTGTAATTTTACAGGTTGTCTGCCTCAAGCAAAATGAAACAGGAAAAAATATTATTCGCACATAACAGTGATATACCCCCAGCTTATGAAGATTTATTTAGTCATTTCCAGTTCATAAAGAAGGCAGTGTAAGGAGTTTTGAGAAGGATGAAGAAAAGTAGAGTTTGGAGGGTAAACATCAAGTGAAGTTAGTTTAAATAAAATAAACAGGAAAAAGAAATATTTTTGAGACAGTGATGTCAGCGTCAACATCGAGATCTTACCAACTTTTATGAAGTTGTAGTAATTCTTTTGCTTTAGAAAGACAAAAAATTGGAGAGTAGTTAACCTAGCAACCACAGAATTAAAGAGCTACTGTCTTACTAAACACAGAATGGTTTGGGTTGGAAGGGATCCTTAAAGATCAACTAGTTCCAAGCCCCCTGCCATGGGCAGGGACACCTTCCACTAGACCAGGTTGCTCTGAGTCCCATCCAGCCTGGCCTTGAACACTTCCAGGGATGGAAGTTAGTGTTAGTAGAACACAGTTAAGGAGAGGGAAGGAGGATTTGGCTTTTTCAGATCTTGTTTACTCATTCACACTCGCTTCTTGTCACCACTCAAAGATTCCCTCTCACAAGGAACAAGTACATTGTACTTACATTGAATTTGCTCATGAACCACTAGAGCAAAGTGGTCTATTTCCAGGATATGAGAGAGTTTCCCCAAGTTGTCTTTCAGGTTAATCTGAGGAGAGAGATACCAAGCTTAAATAAAACAGTCCTTTCTATGTTTAGTGGTTGATAAAACCCACATACTTCGTGCAGAACTAAAACCAATACATCAGCATTTGTTACTGCTCTCATCTGAAGTATTGTAAAACGCCAACAAATCAAGGCCAACTTAAAAGATCAGTTTTCTTTGTTTCTAATTTCCAAGAAAACAAAGTACTATATGAGGTTACTCACTCCAATTCTGTAAACATAATGAATACACTGAATATCTGAAAAAAATGTCAATAATAGAAGAAGGTCAGGTGTTCCACATGTCTTAACAGAAGAAGTTACTATAAAACTCTTTATACTTGGTGATTTTCTTCCAGCAAGACTGGGAAAAAGTGAATGAATCAGGCTGCAAATCATTGTGGAAGTGAACACAATCTTCAAAGGCAGCAGGTGAAAAGCCCAAACAAGCCAAAAACAAAACCAAAGGTGAAAGACTGCTGAGCTAACATTGTATTCAGGTGCAAATCAAGGAACTGAGAGTTAAGAATTCAATTTTAGTGAAGTTCAACTTTGCTAAGACTGAACAAGAAAGCACCCTATGTTGACCCTCCAGAAATAAAGATACTTCTGAATCACTTCACTAATCACCTCCTGCAAACATTTAAAAAACTACATAAAACTGTTCTTAATATGATTTAACAAATTAAGCAGCAGCCACAGGTCCATTACCCAGGTGACTCTCCCCAGGTCCATGCAGCACCCACCACCCGACATATTTTTATTAAAGGGGATTAAAGGAATTCACACCAAGGAAAAGTCTTATGCTGCAGATTCAAAAGGCCTTCAAGAGTGGGCTCAGCTTGTGAGCGAGGAATAAATGCCACAGCTGGGCTGCACTGGAACACACAGCTCTGTCTCCATAGTGGGAGTTCAAAGATATCAAAAGGATTCCCAGAGTTTAAGGGACTAGCAGGCTGTAGTGCAGAGTGAGGCACCAATCCCTAAACTTGGATTTTGGTGGGAAATCTGGATTTACTGCCACATGGAGTCACCTATCAGTCACCACCACTGACAAAGTTTTGCCAAATGTACGTGCAAAGCCCAACTTTCAAACCCGGGTTCAAAGCTCACTGAAGGGGTAGAGCCCCTTGCCATCAGATTGTGTATCATTCATAGGGCTGTTTTTAGGGATTGGGCAGGCTCAAGGAAACCAGGATAAGCAGCCCCTTGGCAGCACTGGGACAACTATGAACACATAAATATGTTTTGAGATGCTTAATGGATATTTAACAGAACCCCCACGGAGTTTTCACCTGTCTCACTAGTGCTCATTCAAGCTCCCTAAACATTTTACCACAAGTTTTCCCACATTTAGGCATTTTTTAAAAACTTACTAAGTCTTTAGGGCAATGAGTCTACACACATGGTACTACACTACACCATGGAACTAACATCTGACTCCTCAAGGATGCTCCTCCTCTCCACCAGCAAACAGAACTTGTTTGGATTGGCAAATTATCCTGTGACTGGTGCTTCAAATTCCCAGAGCACTATCCTACCAGGGACTTCAAAAAAGCTATAACCATTCCTTTTCCATTCTAGGAGATTGCCACAAAATAATTGTGGTGATTCTATCAAAGAAAGCTTCCTGCATTATAGAATCCACAGAATGGTTCGGGTTGGAAGGGGCTTTAAAGATCATCCAGTTCCAACCCCCCTGCCACAGGCAGGGACATCTTCCACTAGCCCAGGTTGCTCAGAGCTCCATCCAGCCTGTTCTTGACCAGCTTCAGGGATGGGGAGTCCACAACCTCTCTGGGCAATCTAAAAAAGCTGGAAGATACCAAAAGATACCTCTGCCTTGGTAGGCTGAGCCTACCTCTTATTCATGCAAGCTGTGGTATCCTATGTGGGGATATGAGAAGTCATTTCAGTGGCACAGATGATCTGTTTTCCCAATTTCACCAGTAAACAAGCCAAATAACCTTGACTAAAGTGGTAAGAAAAGCAAAACCCACAGTATTTCTGAGGTTATGTGCATTTAACCACGTTTCTCCACCAAACCATCAACTCAAACAGAAAAACGACCCACGAATGAGGCTTCCAGTTAGCATGTTAGCAATACCACTGCTTGTGTCACTCCCCTTCCATCCTCCACCAAGAAAATACCAGAACTGAAGGGAAAAGAAATGGTTAAGCTGTTCTTTACTGAAGAAGCACGAGAAACTTCAAGCTGCCCACGGCAAAGGCCACAACCTCAGACGTGCAGAGAACTGGCTGGTGCAGCCAACACCAGCGTAGCCACAGAAACAATCGCACACCACCAGCCACAGAAACTCTTACGGTGTCCAAGGGAGGGAGAACATGAACTAAGCAGTTGTGTTACGCACCACATATCCACATGATGCTTGATTATCTGCCTGGGAAGGAAAAAATGAATTTACATGTGTCCATAAAGAACCAGCATCCTTGCTCAGCCAAAGGGACCTGGTGGCTCACGGGCTGAACAGAAGCATTACACACACTTCCAGAATACAGCACTTCATCTACTTTGAGACAGCGTTCAAACTTAAAACCTGGTGAAAACTAAGTCAAGAACTCCATGTTAAAACTAAAATTCTTTCCTGCAAAAGAATCAAAGCAACAATAACACTACTTATATATTTTAGGAGAGCGCCCATACAGCCAGGAAGTTGTGCTACCACAGAATCACAGAATGGTTTGGGTTGGAAGGAACCTAGAGATCAACCAGTTCCAACCCCCCTGCCATGGGCAGGGACACCTTCCACTAGACCAGGTTGATCTGAGTCCCATCCAGCCTGGCCTTGAACAATTCCAGGGATGGGGCAGCCACAGTTTCTCTGGGAAACCTGTGCCAGGGCCTCAACACCCACCACACTGGATGGACTAACACCAAAATTCACATATCTTGACAATATCAGCTTTCAGCAGCTAACCCCTGCTTCAGCAAGGCACTTGATACATAAAACATTGTTTATTTTCAGCAGATGCAAAAATTATTTAGCTGAGCTGCTTCAACATCTCCCTGGCTCTTCCCCTGGATAGTTACACGTTGCCCACATTTGTGCTGGGGTTTTTGGGGCAGGAGGAAAGGACAGACACGCTGGAAGAAAGCCTGATGAAGTAATGGAACAGCACAATATAGCCACAACACAAACCTAGGAGCTACTGAGTGATCTAGGATAGGGTTTAGAGCACATCTGTGCTCAATAACAGCTGCTCTGTATGGTCCCAGGTGAACCTTACCCAAACATGATGCCACTGAGGTGTTGGGACACCTACTCCAGTACTTCAAACCAGAGAACTAAGAGCTGCACAATATATCTGCCTACCTGTTGAAATTGCTTGTAGATTACTTTTCTGACTTCATCAGAAGGCTGAACTTTTCCAGCAAGCAGTGAGGAGAGCATGTTACCCAGGGTAACCATGCCCAAAATCACCCTGGGGAGGGAGAGAAAAGACAGGGCTAAGCAACACAAAAGCCTCAGGTGTTCCTGTAGATAAAAGCATCCGCTCTCAGCCAACCTGGAGAAGTCAGTTCGGTTACTTCATGGTAATAATGCAACATTATTGATGCTATACTTGGATTCTGTGTCTCTGCAGGAGACAGAGTCCAGTTCTCAGAAGTTCTGGAGATGCACACACAAGTCAGTGGGTGCTGTGGGTGTCTGGCCCTTCTGAGCATCTCTGTATCTCTGCTCCTTGTAACTGCAGAGCTTCCTGCAGTCTCAGGGAGCTTTTGAAAAGCACCAACTACTTCACTGTTTTACACCCTCCTCTGTCCTTTTGAAAGGTGTGACAGCAGACACATGCTCACCCCAGTTTTGCTCATTCCCCTTCTCCCTACAAGGATCTACAATAATTCATTCCTTGATTTAGCACTGCAGTTGGACAGTAATTGAGCAACTCTTCATTATTCAGCCTGTCTACAGGAGACCTACAGGGTAATAAGGCACATTCCAGCTTGCTGGGGACACCCTGGGTTATAGGGGTAACTACAGCATTGCACTATAACAGTGTTCCAAAGAAACTGGGTGAACCCTGCGGTGGAGGTGGGTAAGTTTGGGTTTTGTTGTTTTAAACAAGAATTTTTTTTGGTTTGTTAAGTTAAACAGTTGTTATTTAGAAAAACCTAATTGCACTATCCTGCAGAGACACACTGAGTAACAGTATCATAATAATCATTAGAGTTATGTGAAGAGCAGAACAATCCTGGCATGACAACATACCAAGTCCAGCATTGGTGTGTTTAAGTAACATTTCTGAACTGTGTTACTAGAACTGAAAAAAAGATGAGTGAGAGGATATTATACTTCCAGCAAGCACTTAAAAGACATCCCTTGAGACCTGGTGAGGGAAGTGATACATATGGACGAATAGTGATATATGTGGACATACCCAGATTCATCAACAACTGGTACCTGGTCGAATCCCTTCTCCCGGAGAATTTCGACAGTCTTTGCACAGGTAACAGTTGGAAGCACTGTCAGGGGAGCAGAGAGGCTCAGTTCCTGAACACTGATGTTCCACCACCTGGGGATGAAATAAAAAAAACAAACCCGTGCAAGATTTATGGAGAGAACAGAACCAGCTCTTCATGTACAGTGGCCTCCAACACCACAGGAATGACAAAAGGGAGCAAGGAAGGATTCAGCCAGAGACAATAAAGCTTCAAGGTTCTAAAGTTTTATCCCCAGTATCAGAAAGTCACTGAAGTGTGAGAAGGCTCGAAGACCGAAACTCTTTCCTTCATTTCATCGACTTTCTAGGATTAGACACTTAGTGGAGAGAACTAATCCCCCCAGTTTCAATATTTATATCTTACACAGAAAATTCTGTGCTCCTACTGAAAGATCTACCCATATTTACAGTCATTATAGGCAACAATTTAGGGAAGATTCCCTTCCACCTCTGCAGACTTGCAGTCCTTTGCACTCAATAACTCTGATCTCGGAAGGGTTCTTTGGATACTACTTTTTTTAAAATTTTTTTCCAGATTAAAAAAAGTCATTAAGTACCAAATTTTCTTCTGCTGCCATGCAACTCAAAGAAAAATGTCAACTAATTCAGGCAGATTTGATTAATAGCTGCAATTATACAACAAGGCAATGAAAGATTAGCTAAATAAAAGGAGTAGTGTAAATTGAAATGAGCTTTGAATTAACAACTGCCATAAACTCGATTGAATAGACTCATGAAAATCCAAATGGATCTGACAGGTTTACCAGGGTTTGTTGCCAAGGTCCTCTTCTTTCATGAACCCTTTCTGAATCATCCATTTGTCACTCAAAAACTTGGACCTGGAAAATCATCAGGAAGTGAAAAGCTCATTAGCAGGTTGAACATCTGACAGCAAACACAGGCAACTGTTTACAGCTCACTACCACTAACAAATAAAGTGTAATTGAAAACAGACCATCATTTGCTATCCAAGCTTACCAGCCAAGGACATGAAGGAAAATATTCATAGGAAGAAAAAGGAATCCCATACATCAGTCCCTTGCAGTACAATAGAGACACAGCCTGGAATGGAGATGTGCCAGGCAAGGTCTGTCTGCAGCTTCTAGTTGTTTCTAGTTTCTAGTATTGAGTTGGATGCAACAGAAATCAGGAAACACAGCTAAAAATACCACAGTTTGGGATATGCTTCAATGCAGTAGGAGAAAAACTTCTCAGCAGAACTCAAAACCTTCATACTTCCACCTACAAACTCACCCTGACAGTGGCTGCTGCTGCAGGAGTGCTGGGTTCTGCTGTGGGCACAGGGATGGGATAATACCAGTGGCCCCCCATAAATAACACAGTGAAACCAAGTCCTTTCCTCTGAAAGATGCTAACCAGTGATGACTATCTACTGAAATCAGAGCTCAGCTTTCAAAGGGAAAATGTCTACTCCATGTCAGGCCCTTTTTAGATACCTTGGAACTTGTGCCCCAAACACATTCCTGGGTGATACATTAAATAGGTATCCAAATTGTCACTGCTGTAAGGAGGTCTGAGGGACTGCCTCACCCCTTTCCCAGGGAGAAAACCAGCAGGCTCTTACATGTAGTTCCTGATAGAGTCAGGGAAGATGACAACACAGCGCTGACCCTCCTTCAGCTCCTTGGCTGCCTTCACAGCCACAGACATGGCACTGCCTGAGCTGCCACCTGCCAAAACACAGAGCAGAGGCAGAACTGTCAAGCAATTAGTGAAATGAGAATGATCAAAAGAGAGGAGGAGAGAGAGACAGTGAGATGAGCCCAGAGTGAGGAAGTCAAGTTCCGAGGTGGAAGGAGGTCTCTCTGATCTGCACAAGGCTTCAGCCTCCCACAGAGAAACCCAAAGGATCCACATCTGCTCTTACCACACAGCAGCCCCTCCTCTCGGATCAGCATGCGAGCTAAAGCAAAGGACTCCTCATCATTGCTCTTGTACCACTGGTCCACTGTCTGGGAAGGGGCAGGAAGACAGAAACAGAGGGCTGTTTAAATGAGGAGGGACAGGGGAACTACACAACCAGCGTGAATTCAACCCATGCTCTTTGAGGTAACAGCTGCCCTACTGAGCCACATGCCTGGGTTTCCATCCTCCAAATGCCAAGTGGGGTTTTTTTTGCCAAGGTAAGAGGATCACACCAGTACAGCAGGCTCCTTACTGGAACCTCACTGTGGGAACAGGCTGCTGTGAGTCAGCCACGGAGAGCATCAGCTTCTTCCCCTCCTGGAGGGCTTCCCAGGGACACAGGCTCTGCTCAAGATGCTGTCATACCCCTTTGTCCAGGAGGGGTTGGGTGCTTTACTGGAGACTTTTTCTTTATTGGTTAGTTGGTGTTTTTTTGTTGTTTGTGGGTTTTTTTGTTGTGCGTGTTTTTTTGTGGTATGTTTTGTTTGGTTTTTTTTTTTAAATGTAAAAATAAATTTGTTCTAGGAAAACGTTATCTACTCACAGCCTTTTCACCTGGCATTGTAAAACAAACATTCTGAGGACTGCTTCTGCTGATGGAGAGAACAGGAATAGTTCTGTCTCCTAGCCCTCCCATTTCACCCCAAAGGAATACTTCCCCAGGTTTTTCCCCCCGCCTTTCACCTCACTCCTGCATCCCACCAGAGGGCAAAGGGCAGTAAAACCAAGCAGCACGACTTACAGATCTATCCAACACCGTGGGGACAAAATCATATCCAATTCCTTCCACTTCATACGTTGTCTTGTCAGTCTTGTTCAGTGATTCTGGTGCAGCAAGGATGGAGCCTTCAGGATCCACACCTATGATCTGGAGAAGCAGTTTCCACTCAGGCCACTGTGACACACTGCTTGTGGGGACACAGCACGTGTGAGCACTGGCCTTGTTGCAGCTGCTGGTGGCACACTCAGCCAAGCCAACAGCAACCTGGTCTCCTACTCATTTTTCTGGCAAAATTCACCTCCCCTGAGAGCAAAATGCTTTGCTGCTTCTGGCAACCCACCCCATCTCTTCAGGATGTGTGGACACTGAGGGGCACCACTTGCTCTGTGTGGGTTTTGCTTGTTTTAAACAGAAGACAGGGTTTCCCCAAGACAAGATTGTCCTCATTCACATGTCAGGCATCATTACAGCCAAGACATTTTGGGCCAAGTGTAAGTAGATCAGTTTTATTTTCTTTATCACTCCCTGCCTATGTAGGAAAATGTTCACGATGGAAGCAGGATACCAAGTTCTGTGAGGAAATCTTTGCAGAGACAATTACATGACGTAAAACCTCAGCAGCTCCAAAAAAGTTAGTGATGGCACAGTCAGAGAGGAAACACAAGGCTGCAGAACACAAACTGGAGAGGGAAGTTTCTCAGACACCCCATGAAGGGATCTGAGGGCCAGTTTTCACCTGCTGAGCCAAACCCGAACTCTGGTCACCACTGAGACCAGAGGATTTCAGACAGTCTGAAAACCTTTGTTCTTTGTTCTCAGAACTACCTTCTAGCTGAGAACACAGAGGGGCTTCCCACAGAGATCCAGGGCAGGCTTGCAAGGAATGAGATGTGCCAAGCAGAGCAGTCTGAGGTTGACCCCACTGAAGAGAAATGCATGAGGTTTGTCACTTACTTTGCACCCTGGACACTTCTCCTTTAGCTTTCTGGAGATGCCAGTGATAGTCCCTCCTGTGCCAGCCGTAGCCACCAGCATGTCTACCTTTCCTGTTTGAGGGTGAGGGATAGAAGGCAGTTGTGAAACCTCCAACAGAATGACAGATCAAAACCCCACTTACACGTAAGTATGGACTTTTTTCAACAAAGATGCAGAAAGTGGCTGAAAAGGGCAAGATAAGGCCCTTTGCTTCCCAAGAGCTGTTATGACACCTGCCCTGAGCCCACATTGCTCAATCCTCATTTACTCCAACAAGGGTTTTGAAATGTCCATCCGGAGGCCTGGTCAGGCACCAACTTGTGGCTCCTTGGACACAGCTGGAGGTGGCCCATGAAGCTGACAGCTGCAGTTTTCCTGTTACTGTATTTACTGATACACATATTTCATTCTCTAATTTAAACCAAGCAGCCCATTATATTAGTTAATTAGCTGAGTAGTGCCAAGAGCATGGGTTAGGCATCCATGGAGAGAATGGTTAACACAACTACTTGCTCGTTTTCCAGTGAAAAAGACTGTTTGGTCACTGGCACTCAGAGTGAGTGTGGATATATTTTATCCCTCTGTCACCACCTACAGTTTCCCTGGTGCATCCACATGACAGCTTTGTTAATTCAAAAATAAAATTAAATTTTTAAAAGGTCACCAACTCACACACGAAAACAAATGCTTACCAGCCAAGAGAATAACACCCCACCAAGCAGGGGCAACTGAACAGTGCCTGCCCTGTGAGGGAAAGTAAATACAAACAAGAAGTCTAAAGCTGGAACTCATCTGGACTCCCAATTTGTGGGATGGCAGCTTGTTAAAGTGCACTCATTTAAACTCAAAGTTTGTCACAGAAAGACAAGCCAAATCCTCTGAACAGTCAGAGTTTTAGGAGGGAGGAGAACCCTTCACATGGTCCCCACCTTAATGAGAAGCAAATTTAATAGCTGATTTTCTTATGAGAGGGTCCCATCAGAAAGTGTACTGTATAACATTTTTATAAGGCAGGTCAGTAGCCTCCCATATGACTTAATTCTACCACCTATGGAAATGCCCCCAGGGTAGACTGCAGCATCACATGGAATGTCTCCAACAGCTCTCAAACCACCTCCTCAGCTGGGTGAGTGAGCCCAGCAGAAGCTCTGTGCTGCCACAGCTCAGGCCCTGCTGGTTCTCCAGCTCAGCTGCCCAGCACTAAGATGGAAGAGATCCCTAAAGAGTGAGAGGGTCCTACTGGTGACAACTGCCACACAGGGCAGTTTGTGCTCCTGAGGACCCCTAAGTGAAGAATCTTCCAATGTATTGGAGCATTTGGTCTGGGAATGTTAAAATACCTATTTCCATACTTGAGATCAGAGAAAAACCACCCTATTTCACAGCAGTCTACCTATGCCTTCTTTTTTTAATAAGGTATCTTAAGCATCACTGCTTCCTCCACCTGAACACAAGCAGAGGAATCTAAAAATCAAAGAATTCTTCTTTAATGGAAAAAAAAATCATTACTGTGACTACTGAAATAAGGTAACTCTCCAATGACACACAGCATAGGTATGGGATTTGCTGTGCCAAAATCCATGTATTTCTCATCCAGCCGAGGTCTCATTCTCCAAGAACGTAACAATAAAACTACCAGGGACTGGTTGTGGAGGGGATTAGCAGTAGGGCAGACATACCATCACACTGCTGCAGGATCTCCTCAGCTGTGGTGTCATAGTGTGTCAAGGGGTTGCTGGGATTCCGGTACTAAATGGAAAGACAGAACAGACGTGAAGACAAAAATTCACATCGTGAGGCATTTCAAGAACGTGTCAAACAATCTCCAAGCCCCACAGCAGCGACATACACTCTTTGCAGACTGTTTCCTTATCTATTACCTGGACCAAGGCCCGAGGGGAAATACAGCCTTCCTAATTTGTGACTTAATTTAAGAGCAGTTCTAAGGTGCCAGCATCCCCCAATGATCAGTCTTGTTTGTGGGACAGCTACTTTTAGCAACGTGACTCCTGTGTCCATTCTTCCACACAGGCTTGCCAACTCAGTGGGAAAAGACATCCTTAAGTGTTGCAGTTTTGGCAAACACTGGCTCATTGCTGCTCTCTAGTGACTACAAAAACTTGCTGGCCTGGAGCACAGCGGTTGCTCAGCTACAGATCTGGGGCATCTTCTCCTCCAGAGACACATGAAGGGTGTTGAACAATCAACCAAGGACACTAAGGAACAAGGCTGCAATTCCTCCTCCATGCTGCCCTGCACCTCCTGCATCCTGGCTCTTACCTGGTCCAGGATGTGTGCGTTGGGGATTTCGTTCTTCAGCCTCCACGCCACCCCCACGTGAGATTCAGGAGAATCAAATCTGGCTGTAGTTGGGGTCCTCACAATCTCAGCGCCCAGAGCTCTCAGGACATCCACCTGGAGCAAAGAAAGGCGGTCACAAAACCCCAGAACGCTCTCCCAGCACAGAGACTTCACTGGATGAAAGGGGAAAGAAAGCAACTTCCCTTTCACCTGGTCAGCAACAGCCTCCTCAGTGGTTCTCCTAAAGACTGAGCCACTGAGCCATGGATCAAAACCAAATGACATTAAGGATTTAAACTAAGCTTTACTGGTGAGCCAGGTGTCAAATTCCTGTCTCTAGTCCAGGCCTTCATGCTTGTAGGAACTATTACTACCACACTGAGAAGTCTCATTCAGCCAAAACACCCTCTCCTCTCACACCAGTCACAAGTTCTGCACTCCAGCAGTGCTGTAGCCCAGTATTTTATGTTCAAGTGCAAATTGTGTTTATTTATCCCCTCCTTTGGGCACAGGCAGCAATGGAGATCCTCCAGGGCCCTGTGCACCTTTCAACTGCTACAAGGGCAAGAAAGTTTATGACACTGAGCTAAGGCAAAGCCTGTCTTCAGAGGGGAGGGAAACCTTTGGTGCCATGTGGCACCTCTCCCTCCAGAGCAGGTAAGAGCAAGCCACGGGTACAGGCCTTCAAGGGATGCTGTTCATTTGTGCTGCTGCCTCAGCTGTGGAACACAGGGGATCTCCTCTACTCTCTTCTCTTGGCTGCAGGTGCAGCACCACAGGACAGGGCTTGCTCTATAAACAGATGCTTCCACAGTGAAGGTAAGTGGAAGGCAAGGCAGCTTTTCCTTCCCCTTTGCTGTTGTGGTGACACAACTCAGATGCTTGCAAGGACCAGCCAGTGTAACCTGAGGAGCTCAACAGGCTCCCACACATGAGCCCTGAATGTTTGCAGAATATTCAGAGCCTCAGCACTGCCTCCCTTCACCCTCTGCTCACCCAGGGACAATGTGCGTGGAAAATCCCAAGTTCCCTTGACATTTGTATTTAAAACAGCTATGACAGTTTTCAAAGTGACAATGCTGTGGGGATGGGTCTTAAAGACATTTTCAAAGACATTTTCTATCCATGGCTAGCCAGCCTGGATTTCTGTGGGCGCTGGCAACAGCCCCTCAGCAGAGTTCTGCCTGGCCAATTATATATTTTATACTTATCTTCGTTGCTAAAGCCACAGCATCCATTTGCACCAGGAATTCTGCGAGTGCAAACACGTTTATTTTTTTAAATTCTTGAAAACACAAGCAGGTCTGACCTTCTCCATGCTCATTTTCTCTGGCATCACGATGATGCAGCGGTAACCCTTCACTGCTGCAGCCAAGGCCAGCCCAATTCCTGGAAGCAAGCAAAGACATGCAGAGCACAGAGTGAGGAGCAGCAGAGAACAAAACCCACAATGCCAGCACTGGCATGCCCCTGGATTTAATCAGATTTTCACCAGAGGCTTGAATACAGTGTCTCTAGAGGGGTGGCAAACAGAATGTTTCAGTCTGTTGGGCAGAACTGGATTTCAGATGCTGCTCGTTCTTTGAGGTTCACAGCCAAGAGAAAGTTTAGCCAAGGGGGGGGGAAGCTCGACATGTGCAAACTGCTGGCTTTACCACATGCACATCACCTTCCTCCTGTCTCACCCGCTTCATTTTTACAGAAGGAATTTGGGAAAGGAATGTGCTTCAAGCTAGAGAAGATCAGAGCGATCCCTTTGATACTGCCAGAAGATCAGAGCCTTTATTGACTCACTTTTGCATTAAACCCCTAGTTTGCAATGCACTGAAACTAAGGCCTCTCTAGAAAGAAATTATTTAGATGCTGTTTGTGATTGAGGTTCTAATGCACTGGGTCAACTTGCTACCACAGTGAAGTACCTTGATTGTTAGAGACAGACACTTCCAGCTGGTCATCTTCTGTACCTCAGAGAAGAGAAGCTCACACCTGTTATTAGATCACCCCTCTGCAGGACAAGCTAAACAGATCAAGTTGGTTGATCAATGTCTGAGGTGAGACTGCAAGGCAGCTCCCCTGCTGTGTTGGGTGCAGGACCAACACTTGCAGTTTACCCTACACAGAGACTTGCTTGTTCAAAGCTGGCTCTGTTTCTACATGGTGCTGAATCACATAGAGGTAAAAAAAACTCGTAATAATCTTCAACTGTTACTGTAAGAGAAGCTTAACTCACACCTCAAGTAATTCAAGTAGAGTTTAATATATTTGTGGGAGGAAAAACAACTTTTCTCAGTGTATTACAGATAAATATGGATACCCAAACACCAAAATAAGACAGCAAAGGCCTCACTAAGGCCAGAGACTGAAGAGAAGCCATCCAGTACTCTTCCTTACAGTCTGTGATAAAGAAAGAATTTTGAGACCTGAACTCTAACACTTTGTACTTTCTGCCACTGAACTGGAAATGCAGCAAACATCAAAACAGGACTTTGGCTAAGGGAGAAGTGGGATGCAGAGAGGATAAAAATATAACACATTAGCTCTCACTTTCAACATACTCAGTAGCCCTGAGCAGTAGCCTAGAGCAAATGATAAGTGTCTCAGGTTACTGTCTGCCCTGGTCTTTGCTTTTATATGGAAAAAAGAGACAGCATTCTGCAGCAATTGTCCTGTATCTCCTTCAGTTCTGCCTTTTCGGATTCTGTGGCAAGGAGAATCATTTATCAGGTACTGACCCAGAAAGCAGGATGTCACAGTATGACCTTAGATACTGGGGGAATGCAATACATATGGATATTTTCCACTACGTGCCATTGTTCAGGCAAGGGGTACAGCCACACTCACAAAGGCTTCAGCTGCACTGCACCCCCCAAAGAACAGCTGCTGAGACAACAGCAACTGATGTGACCTCCCAGTTTTTTGTTGAAGGGAGATCAGCTCATCATCCCAGTCCCTCCAGTAACAAAGGTTTGACTGGACCAAAAGAACAAAAGAAAGATCTGCTTGGCCTGTGTCTAATATCTTGCAACAGTGGATGGAAGCCCAGGAAGGAGTTTAAGAACAGGACAAAACACCTCTCCAGAGCACATCAGGCAGGAGAGAAGCTTGCAGCTCAGCTCAGGAACATGCTCAGGGGAGGCAGTATATTTTATACTTAACTATTTATATTTAACTATATCATATATTTTATATTTAACCCAAGGGGGAACACTCCAGGTATGTTTTCTCCCCAGGTATGTTTTCTCCCCAGGAGCAGAGCAGCTTAACAGAACTACAACAGCTTTGACACAGGAGCCAAGTTAACTCCAGTGTCTTGGATCATCAGATGCTCTGCTCTGGTCCCTGCCTAGTGGGACTGTTCCTTCCTCCAGCCCTCCAAGGAGGAGATGCTGTGGATCTCCTGTGATTTTCAACAGTGGAACACGTTGAAAATCCAGGTGTGCAAGGGCTTTGTCAGCAGGCTGTGCTGTGGGTGTGCAGCTCATCTCCCACCTCAACTGCACCCACATGGGAAGGGCTGTTTCTCAAACCAGGCCCACCTTACCTGACAGAGGGACCACGGGATTTCCCAAACAGAAAGAATGAGAAGATCCAGATTCTTACCAGTCTTTTGGGTGCCTTTTCCCCCCTTAATTTCAGTCAGACTTGAATTCCTGAATAGGACCTAAAGACTCTAGTGAATCTGGCCTAACACTTCTTTTCTTTTAAAGCAAAGAGGCTCTGCAAATTTAGCAGAACTGCTTCCCAGCTGTTCTGGTCAGCACAGGGCACTGTAGAAATGTTCCTTGTGCAAGATGGAGGAGGCACTGCAGGCAGGAAGAGATCCCTTCTCCCTTGCACAGGCAACCTCCATGCTCCAACCTCAAACCTGCCTCACCCAGGAAAAGCACCACAGCAATTCTCCCCACACTTTGCTGAGGTCTCTCTGTGCCCTACCTGTGTTTCCAGAGGTTGGCTCTATGATTGTGTCCCCAGGCTTCAAGATCCCAGCCTTCTCAGCATCCTCCACCATCCTGAGGCTGATGCGGTCCTTGACGCTGCCCCCGGCATTGAAGTACTCGCACTTGACCACTGGAATCACAGAAACCAAGCACAGCTCTTGAGCACAGTCACTGGGTAGCAGGCTGCTGATTCCTAACACCTCTGGAAGACCAGCTCTGTTAACATGTTTGCCCAGTTCACCTCCCTGCTTCCCAACACCAGAGAGGGGGATTCAGCTCACGGCATCTCCTCTGTTGCGGGTCACAACAACAAGCAGCTTGTCACTGGAATCACAGAATGGTTTGGGTTGGAAGGGACCTTAAAGATCACCTCATTTCAACCCCCTGCCATGGGCAGGGACACCTTCCACTAGACCAGGTTGCTCAGAGCCCCATCCAACCTGGTCTTGAAACCTGGTCTTGCCCCTGATCAAACTGGAAGTTTCTCCCCTTATTCAGCCCACACTTTCACTCCAGTCCCCCCCAGCAATAATCCCTTCAGTGGTGTTGATCACCACCTTTCAGGACTCTGATCAGAGCCTCCAGGTATCTCCAGCACAGTTGGGTTTAAAACCCCAACCAAAAAAAAAAACTTTCACTGACAGTTTCATCTCTTTACTCATTTTCAGTGATCTTTGGTGATAACTGCTGATCTGCATTTTACACACACTGATGAATACCCTGAATATGAGAAGCAGTCAAAAACTTTACACAACTTTTTAAAATTTAAATGTTCTATGAAAAACGTTTTACTTTTTCTACAAAAATGGAAAAGCTGCAGGGAATGTTCTCATGAAGTGCAAACTGAAAGACGTTTTAAATGACCAATTCCAAAAAACTGACAATCTGCCAAAGAAAAAGAGGAATTTTTCCTCACCATTTTCTGCCAGGTGCCTGCACTCCTGTTCCCAGGGTTACATGGCACTACTAACCAGAACTACCCCAAGTTTCTGAAACAATGTTGGTTAGTTTGATTTTCTGCCTGCAGCAGTACTCACAGAGTTCACACTTCAGTCCAAAGTGCTTCCCAATCTTGTTGATTCGCACCAAAGGTGTATTGCCAACTTTATTCAGGATGTTTGGCAGGATCTTTGGAGGCTCTGGCCTGGTATAAATACAAACAAAGTCAGTGTATTCCCAGAAAAGGCCACAGGCAGGTCACACAACAACCACGCAGCATTTCTGGTCCTTTTTATTTCAACCAGCTTTCTCCCTCCCCTTTATCAGGGTAGTTACTTTAGATATTTTAGCTTAAAAGAACAACCATGGGATACAAACTCACAAAACATCAAGTCCTTGATCCAAAACATGGATTAATCAGACATCAAGCCAAGTGCTGAGGCAAGAATGAAGCGCTCTGCACTTTCTCCTGGCATGGAGCAGCTCAGCACTCCTCAGAGTCAGCTATTTTATAACCAAAAGGCATTAATAGTGCAAACTTTCATCTGGTCAGGGAACTGCTTGCCAGGTCACTTAAAATAAGTTCATTCCAGTCCATGTACTTTCACATCTGTGGTGCAAGGCCCCCTGTATGCTCAGTCTGAGTCCTTAGCTTTGCTTGGACATGGAAATTAAAAAGCACCGGCACATCTACAGGCTAAACAAGACTCCATTTAAATCAGTCACCTGCTGTTAAATCCCCATGGCTCCGAGGGAACCTGGATTAGTGCTGAAAAGCAGCAAATAAAACACTTACAGAGAGGCATGATGATGTGGGGAGGCAGAGAGGGGTTTCCCAAGCTTCCACGTGCACTTGCTGGGTGTATCAGGGCGTATCCACTGCCTTTCCTTCTCGTTGTTCTTGCAGTTCTCATTGTCCACCCCACCAGGGAGAACACACTTGCCAGCTGCATGAGGGCACGAGTTTGTATCTGGCTTCTTCTGGGAAGGAGGAGTAGGGATTCCGTTCTTGCGAGAGGGAGAAGGAAAACAAAAAGGAAAAAAAAAGAAAAGGAAAAGAAAAAAGGTGAAGGGTTGAGGAGAGAGTGAGTGATTTTTCTGCCCTGCTGTAACAGGATCAGAGCATCTTGGAGATTATCAAAGTCACCCAAGTTCCACACCATGGGAAATCCCCCATTCACATCATTGCCCCCTGCTAAAACAGCTAAAAATCACATTGCTAATAAGGAACCCTTATTCTTGTCACTCTTGTCCCACCAACTTAACCATCCCAGTCTGGTGTTCCAGCATGCAGTTTTCCTGAGGGAAACCTGAGCAGCAGATACTCTGGTGACAGTGTTCAGGAGACAAGTCTTGCCCATGAACTAAAAAGGGTGAGGGCAAGAAGCAATTTTAACACCCAAGAACAGGTTCTGCCACTGACTACAAGAGATCCTGGGACTGCACCTCAGACCCAGGTGTTGGGGAAGAAAGCACAGCATGTCTCAGATTAATCCCATCCTCCAGTGTCTCAGTCTTGTTTTCCCCTTGTGTGAAAAAGGTCACAACAAACAGGTATTTTGATGGTCAGTTGATATTTCTGTAATAGTGTGAGGATGGGAAGGTGTTTCAGCATCATTTTGATTTGCCAAATCCTTATCACCAGCAGGAGAATAATTTAAATACTCTGAGGCATGTGCTCACTGTAACAAGCCTCCATAAATATCAAGAAAACAGGACAGGTCTCATGGGAGACACCCCTCCCAGATCAGAAGCTCTCTGAAACAAAACCTCCCCATTCTGAGCAGAGTGGAACACAGTAAGACTACTTGGTGAATAAGTAGAAAATTGTGCCAAAAGACTCTGCATTCCTACTTATGGTCATGGAGAACTCTTCCAGAAAGGCCACTGGTTTCAACAGCACCTCCCACCACATCATCTCAGCAAAACAACCTAGAAATCTCTCTGGAAAGAGGTGGGGCTCTCCCAAATTCTGGTGACAGAAAGGTGGGATAACAGTATTCCCTAAAGACCCATGAGTACCTTAGACACAGGAACAGGCCCTGATGCAAACTTCTCCATGTTTTTTGGTGAAGGAGACTGGAATTCCTTCAGGAAAGAGTCACAAGACTGGAATCCTCTTCAACTCTGCAGATCATGCAAGTTGGAAAAAAAAACACCACTGTCACAAAAGAGTGTCTCACAGAGGCAAAACACAGACACCTTTTTCACAGAGAAAAAAAGAAGCTGCAAAACAAAGTGAAGGTGACTTGTATAAATAGGATTAAAAAAAAAATAAAATCATGCAGCAGAGGTATTGCACAATCTTGATGGAGGGTCCCCTGACCCTGTCCTTCCTGCATTACATAATCTTCCCTCTCAGAGCCAGGCAAGTAAGCAGAAAACATCTTTTATCAGACCGTCTGCCATTCCATAAGCTTGAAAGCCACACAAAGTAACAGGAAATACTTCAGTTCACAGGATATAGACTTCTAGGGACACACAGGGGGAAAGGGTTTCACGGTGTCATCCCCAAAAGACCCAGTACACAACTTAGGAAAGGGCTTTATCCAGGAACACTTGCAGAGGCCTCTGAACCCTTGAGGAGACCCAAATCTCACAAGTTCCTACCCAAAATGAATAAGTGTTGCATGCACAGCTGCAGTGATGCTGGATATAACACACACACAGCAAACACTTCAGCATTCTAGGAGGTTTTTTGTTTCAGAAATTAGTAAATACAAGATGGAAACAGTTAAGTTCATTTTTCCTGCACCAGCCAGTTGTTCACAGAGCCTCTCTGCTTCCTTTCCACTGAAGGCAAAAACGTGGCTGAAGCCTTGGAAAGCATGAGGGTTTTTTTTTCCCCTAATATTTGTTTTTCTCATCACCATTTTGCAGCAAAATTCAGCTCTTTCCATTACTGAATTGTGCTGGAAAGGGTCCCTGGCCTCATCCTCCTTCTTCTGACAGATGCACATAAAACAGACACAGAGTTGATGGTCTGGTGACACACTGGAAAAAAAAAACTGAATCACAGGCTCAGTGAACTTTAGTATTTGATCCTGTAAGTTCATATGGACCACTAACCACTACTGCCTTGTGCACACCAACTCCTTTCTTGCATGCTGACTTGAAGAAAGCTCCTAAAGTATTTAAACTGCCCTCCTTTAGGGAAAAAAAAAACCTCTGAAAGCATCAACTTTCCAGCCTAAGACTTGAAATAATTCTCCTCCTGGATATCAAGGTTTCCATGCCACCAGAATTGTATGATTTTACTTTATTTAGGTAAAGCCAAGATAGACTACATCCTGTCCTAGAATACAGACCAGCACTAAACTGAGAGACACCAGCCCAAGAAAGCTAAGATCCTATAAATACACATAATCAAACAACAAACAGTCTTTGTCACCAGAAATCAGCTCATTTCCAGTTCCAGAGTGAAACCCACCTTTCATTTCTCTTTCCAGGAGGTTCCTGGTTCACAATTCAGAATATTGGTGGCTTTTTTAGTAAAGGAAAAAAAACACACTGGAGAAGTTTCAAGGCTTCCTTTGAGCCACATCCACATGTTCCCTCACCCAGCTGGCACAAAACACCGGACACAGACACCGACTGCCTCTGCTCACAGGTAACACTGACAATACTGACAAAGTCCATCTAATAAAGGGACCTTGGTGCCAAAGGATCAAACTATTTCAACACGCTGGAGGAGGGCAGCAGGGGGTTAGAGACAGGAAACAGCAGGTTCTGTTCGTCTCCCAGGTTCTCATAAAATAGGAGCACAAAACCTTTAAAAGCTTTAAAAATCACCAATTCACAGTATCCTTCAAAAGGGTCCAAAAATCGAGGGGAAAGGGGGAGAAATCTGTTGCAGAAAAAAATTTAGGAGGTTTCAAGTATTTGTTCTCTGTAGTGACAGCAGGAAAGAAATTGGTGTGGCTCTCAAAAAGCTGTATTTTGAAGGATTCCCTCTGAACTGGGCAAGACAGTGCCATCTCATTTCCTCTATTGTAAAGCAAAAAAAAAAAATCCATAATTCACTAACAACAACTCCCATCACTTCTTGAACTAGAAACAGCAGAAACTAAGAACAAGCTATATTTATTGCCTTCAGCTGAGCTGAAGATTCTTGTATTTTCAGAATGGCAATACTTGATGTTTGATCAAAGCTTCAATAATGGGGCTTCAGTTCCGAACAAATAACGAGAAGAGGGACAAAAAGCCAACCTCAAGCATTGCCAAAAAAAATCCTAACCAAATACTAACCTTAAGCAACACAATTCATTGCTTACAGCCCTTGATGATGCAACTTGAGCAAAACAGGGGGCAGAGGTGGTCTAGGACATCCAAACCCTCCCACATGATTCTGCCCACAGACCCAAAACAGGCCGTAGGAACCTACTGCATCTTTCTACTGGGGAGACTTTTGGGGAACAAAGAAAAGGGGGTGAGCAGAAACCCCGAAAACAGAGGATGGCAGCAACTCCTTTGCTAGCCTAACCCTCTTCTCAGTCTTTTTTTTCTGGGAATGAAAGACTGGGGAGACAGGACAGGAGGACGGCAACTCTGCTCCTATAATTGCAGTTGGACACTGCTCAGGAGAGTCTGAGAGAGACAAACTGCAGGAAGAGCTGCCCATCCTCTGAAAAGAAATTCTGTCAGCCTGAACTTAATTTTGCTGTAAAGGGGAACACTCCCATAACTACTTGGGGGTGTGGGTAGAGCCTAACTAGAAAAGCCTGACTAACTTCTGCCATTATAACTGCAGAGCACACGAGGCAAACGAAAAATAATCAAAAAGACAATTTACAAAGTCATTTAAACCTAAGTCACGAAGGGGAGTGGGACACAGAGGTGTGAGATGCAGAGATTGTCATGGGCAAGGCTCACACCTCTGGATCCATCTCCACAAGGAACCCAAGACCTAAACTATTTCTCAACTCCTACAGAAAAGGGCTGAAAGCCAGTGAGTGAAATTAATGCCCAAACAGCCTGAGCTGAACTCACTCCACAGATAAGTCAGGAACTACAGTTTCTACAGCTGTTTACAGTGTATGATATCAGCACTAATGTACTGTACCATTTAAGTATCATGTGTGCAAGAACTTAATGAACTTGATTCTTGTCTGAAGCACAAATAAAGCCCTCTAAAAGGCAGGTGTAAGAGGTGAATCAGAGAGAGATGCCTGCAGGGCTGACTGCTCAGCAAGAGATGAGATACAGAATTCCATTACGCTGAGAACAGGAAACTTTATGACATTAAGCAGGCACAAGTAAACCACTATAAAACAGTTGTTCTGCTCACTCTGAGTGTCACAGGGTCTTAGAGAGCTTTAGGATCTTTATAGACAAGCAGATGCAGCAGTATCCATCCAGCCTTTGGAAGCTGATCACAGAAACACCACAGCTATAAATGATTCAGGAGACAGTCAGACATTTGGTTTGTTTTGCTGTTGTGCTTTTTCTGTGAGTGTGTGTGTGTGTGTCCTTGCTCCTTCCTCAGGAGCAGGCAGCCCTAGCTCCTGTGTCAGGAGACAGCAAGTGACCTGAAATAACTGGAAAATGAATTAACAGCACTGAGGTTCTAGGAAGAGATCCTTCAAGAATCCCAAGTCTTATTTCCATTTTCTCCTACAGAGCAGATGAGCACATGCATGTGCTCAGTCATCACCTTTTTCAAGCCAGACTGACATACTTATAATATTCCTGATAGGAAATGGGTAATTCTTTAATGCCCCCACCTCTGTAACATTGCAAAGATTCAACTTCAACAGCAAAACAACTTCCACAGCTGTGGCAATTGTTACACTAGAATACAGCCAGGGAAAACATGAAAATGTCCAGTTTGCTTCCCCCCACAGAAGGGAAGCTGTGCCTGCAGCTCTAACCCAGGTGTCTTCTGACATCTCCATTTCCTGAGTTCACTCCAACCCTGTCTGAACTCACCTAATAAGTCTTCTGAGTGAAGACTGAAGTCTTCAGGAGCTCAACAGCGTTAGACAAAAGCCTGGAGAATGCTTTATCTGCATTTTTACCTCTTGCAGTCAGAAGCTTTCATTATTTCTTTCCCTGCTTCTACCTCCCTCTCCTCAGCGCACAAAGATGGACCAACACTGGGAGCCTGAACAGTGCTTTTGATCTGCCGAGCTCACCAAGTACAGGGAGAGAAGCATTACAGGTGAGAGGCTCAGAGACTAAGCAAGCTGCCCAACATGGCAAAAAGAGGGAGCTGGAGCTCTGCTCTCGGTTTCTGAGAGGTCTGTCACACAGGCAGAAGCACAGCTCCCCCTCCCCAGCATTATGGTGCCTCCCTGCAAGGCAACACAACTTTTGTTAGCCCAGGGACCTCTGATAAAGGCTGGCAGAGAACTGCTGGTCACCAGTACCCGGGCAGGAAGCCAGCTTTTTTGGCTGGTGCATGTTTTGTGGGAAAGGCCACAGCTGCAACCACTGCGGCTACCCCCACGGAGCTCCCAGCAAGGCACCCCCAGTGCAGCCACGGGCAGGGTGCTGCTGTGTGCCCAGCCCCTGTGCTCACAGGCAGTTTTCCCAGGTCACATGCAGGCTGCAGGCACCTGCCCACAGCCAGGGACCAGCCCATCCCACCACCCTGGCAAGGCTGCCGTGCTGCCAGTGCCAGGTCGGTGGCGTCCCTGGGCCTGCACAGCCCGGGACACGGGTCCCTTGTGCCCCTGGACACCAACCACCATCCTTAGAGGCACACTCTGGCTGCAGGAGAGCAGGCTGGGTAACTCACACGCAGAGGTCGTGGCAGGATAACAACAGCCACCAATCAGTATGAAAAAGGGTGACAAACACCCCAATACTGAACCCGCTCCAGCTCCTAAACTGCACTTCATCAGTGGTGATCTCACCACAGACGTTCCCCTCCTGAGGAATACCACGTTCTGAGCAGCTCTCAGTTTCTCGGGAAACACCTTTCCTCTCTGCCATGAGATTCCCACGTTTCACCTCTCTCCATACTCTGGTTTTTTTCCACCTTTCCGCAGCACAAGCTTTGCAGAACACGGAGCTCTCACGCCACAAATCAGCAAACAGACTCGCTGAAAGGGTAAACAGTGTGAGCAACCATGCTGGAACAGGGCCCAGCACTTCATGGTCAAAGGCTTTAGGATTAGAGAGACACACAGCAGACTAGATACTCAAGCAGGAATAGGAAGGAGAAGAATCACTTGTCTTTCAAGTAGTGGCTGGTTCCATGTGCCAGCAGCATTATTAACGCTGATACTGAGCAGCTCGCTCGGGTCCTCGTCAAGTTCAGACCCCTCCCAATTGGGGAAAGGCAATATATGAAATAAAATTTAAAAAAAAAGAAGCTTCATAGTCCCCTGCGTTAGCCAGACTCGCAAAAAAACACTGCAGGAGACCCTCATGGTGCCCATGAGAACAACGGACAACAATCCAAGCCTGGGCAGAGAGCTAGTGCCAAAACCAGAGAGAAAACCAGAAGGCACAAAGTCGTTTTGAGAGCCAGCGTGAGACGCCGAGAGCCCATCTCTGCTCCTGCTGCTCCTTGCTCGGAGGAGACGCTCCCGGCCTGCCCTGGGCATCCCCCGCTCCTCCCAGGGCTGGCTCCGGGGCTCCCCTGGCCCGCAGCTGCCCCTTCCCACCCCTTCCCTTCATTACAAACACAGAAGTCCAATTGTGCAGCAGCACCACATTCACAGAACCACAGAGTGGGTCAGGTTGGAAGGGACCACAGCGGCTCATCTGGTCCAACCTCCGCGCTCGAGCAGGGCCACCCCAGAGCACATGGCACAGGATCGCATCCATACGCTTCTGGAATATCTCCAGCGAGGGAGACTCCACACCCTCTCGGGGAAATCTGTTCCAGCCCGCAGCCCCCAAACCTTCACCCCACGCCAGGAAGGGGGGCACGGCCGCCCCCAGCTCTCCCCACCCCATCCCGTTCCCGCGGATGATGCAACGCGCGGCCGCAGGGATGGGGCAGCCCCTCCCGTCCCCCCGCCCGCGCTGCGGCCGCCGCCTCACCCGCGTGATCCGGGACACGGCCGCGGTGGCGATGGGGATGGAGGTGATGTTGAGGAGGATGAGGAGGAGGATGAGGAGGAGGAGAAGGATAACCAGGATGAGGGTCAGGATGAGCAGGATGCGCGGCGGGCTAAGAGCAGCGCGCGAGCCGCTTGGCCACGCCCCCGCCACGCCCCGGCCACGCCCCCTCCGCCCCCCGAGGGGCGGGAGCGGCGGCGCGAGCGCTGATTGGTCACTGCGGGGGCGTTGGCTCGTCGGAGCCAGCCAATGGAAGGGCGGAGCGCAGGCGGGGCGGGACCGGAGGTGTTCAGCGATGTCCAGGGGTGTCCAGGGATGTCCAGCGGTGTCCAGCGATATCCAGCAGTGTCCAATGATATCCAGAGATGTCCAACGGTGTTCAGGGATGTCCAGCAGTGTCCAGCGGTGTCCAACAATGTCCAGTGGTGTCAGGGATGCCCAGATGTGTCCAGCAGTGTCCAGTGATGTCTATTGATGTCCGGCAATGTCCAGTGTTGTCCAGAGGTGTCCAGTGGTGTCCAGAGATGTCCAGCGATGTCCAGCGGTGTCTAGTGGTGTCCAGCAGTGTCCAGAGATGTCCAATGGTGTTCAGGGATGTCCAGCGGTGCCCAGCAATGTCCAGTGATGTCCAGGGATGTCCAGCAGTGCCCAGTGGAGTCCAGCAATGCCCAGGGATGTCCAGAGATGTCCAGGAATGTCCAGCGGTGCCCAGCGATGTCCAGCTGGATCATTGAGGGGAACGGGGGGGATATGCCTGGGTTTTCCACAGGGTCTTCCAGGACTGTGTCCAGTTCTGGGCCTCTCAAGTCAGGAAGGACATTGAGGGGCTGGAGTGAGTCCAGAGAAGGGCAATGGAGATGGTGAAGGGTCTGGAGTGCAGGTCCTGTGAGGAGCAGCTGAGGGAGCTTGGGGGGGCTCAGCCTGGAGAAAAGGAGGCTCAGAGGAGACCTTGTGGCTCTCTGCAACTCCCTGAGAGGAGGTTGTAGCCAGGTGGATTTGGCCTCTTCTCCCAGGCAGCCAGTGACAGGACAGGAGGACACAGTCTCAAGCTGTGCCAGGGGAGGTTTAGGTTGGACATCAGAAAGAATTTCTTCACATAAAGGGTGATTAGACATCGGAATGGGTTGCCCAGGGGTGTGGTGGAGTCACCATCCCTGGAGGGACTGGCCGTGCCACTCAGTGCCATGGTTTAGTGCACAAGGTGGTGCTCAGTCAAAGGTTGGACTTGATGAACTCAGAGGTCCTTTACAGCCTAATTGATGTGTGACCCTGGAGAGAGGGCTCTGCCAGGGCTGTGGCCAGGCCCTGGCCTTTGAAGGTGTTTTACTCATGCACCCGTGGGCAGTGGCTGTAGGGGACACACACATGGCTGCTGGTGGCTCCTGAGCACAGGCTATGGTAGCAGGTCCTTGTCTGGTTTGGGGGGAAAATACCCACCATCTGAGGGGTCATGTGAGGGAGCTTCATGGGGCAGCAGTTGGGTTCTTCCCCAGAAAAGACCTCGGGGTTGTGCTGGCAGTGTAAATCCCATCTCAGCTTGCTGAGGCCAGCAATAGGGGGAGAGACATCCAGGCAGCCCTGGAAATACCCATCCCAGGGCAAGGAGGCTGGTGAATCACAGAATGGTTTGTGTTGGAAGGAACCTTAAAGATCATATCATTCCAACCCTGCCATGGGTAGGGACACCTTCCACTAGCCCAGGTTGCTCAGAGCTTCATCCAACCTGGCCTTGAACACTTCCAGGGATGGGGAGTCCACAGTTTCTCTGGGCAACCTGTTTTAGTGCCTCACCACCCTCACAGTAAAGAATTTCTTCCTAATATCTATTCTAACCCTGCCCTCCTTCGGCTTAAGGCCATTCTGATGGTATCTGAGAAGGTGATAAAGAGGTGTTCACCTGGGAGGTCACTCAGTGTCACAAAAGCTGCATCCACAACTGTTGTGAACAGAGCTTGGTGATGTGTAACACGGGATGCAGGTGAATTTAATACACTCCGTGCAAATCGTGTCAGAGTAATTCTTCACAACAACAAGGTGCTCTAAATTATGGAGAAAGTTTAAAACAAAACAAAACAGAAGTTCTTGCATGAAAGAAGGAGGTACTGAAAAGGCTTACTAGAGAGAAATGCTTTGAGATCACAGCCTGTGGCTGTGGGAACTCCAAGCAGCAATTTCTTCTGTATCTATAAAAAGTACCAGTAAAGAGAAATGGAATTCAAGGAGGTCTGTTTTAGAACATGATTCACCCTGAAGTGTTCCATGTGTTTTAGGTAATCAAGGGAGTGGAGGCAGCTGTGTGTCTCCATCTGTACATACACATGCTATGTAGTGGAGCTATTTGGAGAGTATTGCATTCTTTATAAATATGAAAAATAAGAAACAGGATGTTTTAATCAAGTGGTAAAAGCGACAGAAGAGACTTTACAACTGGATGTGACTGGTCTGAAGCTTGAGTGACCAGTTTCAGCATTACAAAGTCAAGGGTCTCTCTGGTAAGAAAATGGACTGTGACTAGAATATGGGGTGAAATTTATGAGAAAAAAAGAAAACCACAGGAAAAACACTGGACAATTAAAAAGAAGAGCCAGATACTTTATATTTGCCTTAAGTAGAGGCACTGAAGCAGCTGTTTCATTACACATGTTAGAAATCCACACAAATTGCAGAGAAACCTCCACACTGATGACAAATTACAGAACCACAGAATATTCTGAGTTGGGAGGGACCCACGAGGATCATCAAAATCCAGTTCCTGACTGAAATTACACTGCTTTTTCCCAGTCCCTTTCTGGGTTGAAGTAGATGCAAACCTAATTTTAGTTTCATGTTCTTATTCTCATTTACCTAAAGAAAGAGCTAGTAGAAAATATTGTTCTTGAACAGGACAACTATTTACTTTAAATTGCAGTTTGCTTAGCTAATTACATCTGAAATGTGCACATAAAGAGAGGTTTGTTCAAGTAACTGTAACAAACAAGTAACTGTTAGCCTCACAGAAAAAACATCAACTGGAAAAATGTGGAAACAGAGTGTACCTTGTGTTTGCCACAGCTAAGTTATGGTATGGCACAAGGGGAATGCAGAGTGTGAAAACAGGGATGCTAAGAAGGCCTGGCCCCTGATATGGGTATCAGAAAAACCATGAGACACCAGGGCACACGTGAGGCAAGAACAGCTAAGCTTGTGAATAATGCTAAAAATCCATGAATATTTGGAACAGTATGAGTGCAAGTGTTTGCAAACTGTGGTCATGCCCACAGAGGGTATCCAAGGAGGGATAACCATACCTTTCATGCCTTTCAGGAGGGACTGGGGAAGAGGCACTGAGTCAGCTGTTCTCTCTGAAGAAGTGCCAGCCTTGCAGCAACCACTGCAACTTCAGGCAGATGGGTGTCGAGGTATGAAATCATCAGCACAGATGGATATGCCAGATCCTGATAAGTGCAAAAGGGATACCTCAGAGGAGACTTGTAAGACCAAGTGACAGCGCCAGGCATGTTGGAAATTATCTGACATGATGTGTGAGGCTAATGAGAGGGATTTGTGATTGCACCACAGCTCTGCAATCAAGATTTGATCTCCATCACTGTGTCAGGAGCCAGGTGAAGGTAAAGCAACATAAGAAAAGCACAGAATGGTTTGGGTTGGAAGGGACCTTAAAGATCCTCTCGTTCCAACCCCCCTGCCATGGGCAGGGACACCTTCCACTAGACCAGGTTGCTCAGAGCCCCAACCAGTCTGGCCTTGAACACTTCCAGGGACGGGGAGTCCACAACTTCTCTGGGCAACTTGTGCCAGTGCCTCACCACCCTCAGAGTAAAGGACTTCTTATTAATATCTATTCAACCCCCAACCTCCTTCAGTTTAAAGCCTTTTCCCCTTATCCTATAACTACATACCCTTGTGAAAAGCCCCTTTCCACTACAGGGGAGTTTTGACTTACAGAATAAACTGACTTCAAAGATCTCCAGAGCAATGCCAACCCACACTGTACCATGGGCATTACTGGCATTAAAATCAGTCATGGTGCCTGGGAATGAACACACAGAGCTTTTCTCCACTGCCCACTAATTAGACTCATTAGGGCTGAGCTCAATCAGTGGGATACACAGATTATTCTTCAACCCAGCGTTGTGAATAACTTCCATAAATCAGCAGGTCACTACCAATACCATAAGTGGAGCCATTTCATCCATTTCTTGAGATCTGACAATGCTTGGGTTTATTTCTCTTGCAAGGAACAAGAGGAGCTGCAGTGAGGGTTGGGATAAAATCAAAACTGTGATCTGATCAGTGCAGCGGTGATGTGACACCAACTGGAATATTAACATGGAAATAAACAGCTTGTTTAGGAATGGAAAGCAGAGGATGATGTTTCTTCTGTCAGTGATGAGTAAAACGTGCTGAAGACTCATAGGTTGAGGAGAGAGATTCCTTGGACCAGTGCAGTCAGTGATCAAAGGGAGAGGGAAAAAAGGTAAATGCTGTTGTGGTAGGATCACTGAAGGAGGAAGATCACGTGGAGGAGACTTTTTCTGACCAGCTAATGAAGGCACCCCAAGAACCATCAGAGTTTTGATGGTACCCACAGCCATTTTGGGATGGGAGAGCACAAGGCTATCACACAAGCTCATGGAAAGGTTTTTATGCAAAGGGAAGAAAACACAGCCCAGGAAGAGCCACTCCATATTTTAACTGCATGCAAGAGGCCACAAACAATTTGGAGAACAGACTTCAAAATGATCTTTGACAGCCTGGAAATGAGGAAGTAAAATAGGAAGTTGGCTGATAAAGACAAATACAAAATTTTACAACCACACTGCAAAATTTCTTGAGTAGTCACTATCTGGATAGTAATTGTGTGGAGTGGAGGGTATGACTGTAGTGCCAGGCAAAGCTCAGTGAGAGTCAACAAGGCCCTGCTGTTGTGCAAAAAGCAAACATCGTGCAGGGTTACGCAAACAGGAATACAGCCTGCAGGACACATGGCACCCTCGGCACCAGCAAGCTTTGTTGAGGTACCTTGTCTCCCATCTGGAATGCTGCATTTCAAAAAAGACATGGCCCATGCAGCACAAAGTGTAGAGAGAAACATTGCCCAGGAATAGAGACTGAAGGAAGTGAAGTTGTTCAGAGAAAACAGAAACAGAAACCTTGCTCAAATCACCTACCAGTACTACAAGGATGACATAATCTGCTGCTCACTCTGCCCTATTCCCTTGGCTGAAGATGTTTTTTCTGTAAGGTGTTACAGCTGCCACCACACGTGTGTTTGAGAACCCCAGAGTTGTCCCAAAGACTGAAGGCTTCCCTCCTTGGAGGCTGAGCAAGGAGGGCAATTAAATGTCTCTTTGTTGTGGTCAGCATGGTCACATGAAAGGGTAAAAAAATAACGAGCCAAACCCCTGCAGAATGGAAAGAATGGCCCAGACATTAGTGAGTATTACTTGGGCAGATTTTGGCCTGTCTCAGACTTTGGAATTTCCCTTGCCCATCCCCAGTCCAGCAGTGCAACAATTAATATTTCACTCAATCCCCCAGGCAGGAAGGCTGGCAGCTCACTCTCCACTTGTGCTTTGTCCAGAAATCAGTTCTCCATGTCCTGCCTCAGAGTCCCTTTATCAAATCTCTTCCTCATGCGGCTCCAGGACTTCTTTTCCTCCAACACAAGAAGAATCCTCCTCATTCACTAGAGAGCAAAGAAGAAGGAATGATGGAAGTTGCAGGACTGCTTTGATTGGTGAAGTTCTCTCCCATCTTTCTCTCAGACATGAGCAGTGTTAGCTCTCAAGGGAAATGGGTGGGTAAAGGGAGGAGCAGTGGTTCCCCTTGGCTCTTCCCACAGCTCCCAGGCCCAGGAGGCAGGCTGGTGCACAGGCTGCACTGGGAGCAGTTCCCTCCCTCTGCCTGGCCAGAATCCCAGATGGCTCCAGGAAGAAAGTGAGAAGGATCTGAAACACAATCCAGTATTCAGCTGCACAGGTAGCAAGACTTGAAATCAAGCCAGGAGCTGTGCAAAAGCACAGCAGGCCTAAGCCTGGCAGACTAAAAGCTTTTCCACAAAAAAACAAGGAGGCAGGGACAGCGGCTCCAGTGCTCCCTGCTGCCTCTCTCCCCACTTTGTCTCGTGGCTCACTGAAACCAGAGCAGAAACTACTTTTTTTCCCTCCAGACCCACCTACACGTGCAGTCTTGGAAACAGAGAGCTGGAAGTGGCCTATGGTGTCCTGAGCTCACAGTGCTCAGGAAAACAGTGCTTTGCAGGCCTTTGTCAGGAACACAGGGGTTTGTCCCAAAGGAACACCTGGATCAGAGTAATCTTCTCTGCCTCATGGGAACAGCTCGCAGAGCTCTGAAGGCTGTTAAAGTGGTTGGGTCAAAGGGGCAGCCACACACACGAGCTGCTGCAGGGCTCCACAGCTCACCCGTGAAGCTGCTGCCTCCCACCACTCCCCCCACCATCCCACCACTTCATCAGCTGTCCTGTCAAAACAATCTAGTTCAAAAGCAAACACCAAAACTGAAATTATGCAAAAGTACTGAACCCGATGTTTATCAGAGCACTGAGGAGTCGGCACTTGCCTCTGAACAGTCAGAGATAAGCGCACCCTTCCCCCATCCCGCTTTTCATGTGCTGAAAGGAAGCCGCTGGCCACCGGAGCCGGTCTGCTGGCAGCAGGGCTGGTTTGTTGGCTTCTACCATTCCAGCCGATTCCACACATCCAATTTACAGTTGAAACTTGAGATCGATTGAATTAACACCATTTCTGGCAGTAACTATCAGCAGGAAAACAGGGGCCTCCTAAAGCACTTGTGCTGCTGCAGTACCACGGGACTGTGGGGTGGGACAGCACTGTCCTCTCACCAGTGGCTCTTCTTGCTGAAGTCTCTTGCTTAGTTTTATAAGAAATAAAACATGACAGAGGATTAGAGGTTTATAATTGATGAGCACATCGCTGCCAAGGAAGGACTGTCTGTGTAGTTGAGGAGGTGTGCTCTGTTTTCCATACATGTGGATGGAACAAAATGAAAACTGCAAAAAAAAGAAAAATTATTTGGAGACACCCTCACCACTGTGACACTGCAACACGGGTTGCCCAGAGAGGCTATGGACTTCCCATCCCTCGAAGTGTTCAAGGCCAGGCTGGATGGGGCTCTGAGCAACCTGGTCTAGTGGAAGGTGTCTCTGCCCATGGCAGGAGGGTGGAACTCACCTTTCACTTCCCTTCCAACACAAACCATTCTGTGATTCGTAAGAAAGCAACGTTGGCTAAACGGATGAATTCAGAAATACCTGTGTATCAATTCAACATGAATTTGATTTAATCTACAGGCATCTGGACGTAAGTTTGATATTTTAAATGGCAATTAAGTCGCCCCAAGGGTAAAACTGTTCTCTCCAGTAACACAGCTCAGCTCCAGCCTTGCAATAAGTGGCAAACGCAGCTACAAATATTCTCTTCTGTCGCAGCCTTACCAGCTGAAATGAAACATTAACTCGGTTCTGTTTTTCAGCTGGAACTTTTCCTGAACAAGACTGTTTTTAGGCAGAGTCTTCAGTGCAGGTGCAGTTAGAAAGATTTACCCCCACCCACCCCACAACTGCTATGAAAGCAGTTTCACTTCTAACGTATTAAAGACAGCAGATGCAGTGTAAGGTGCTGTTGTGCAACAGCAGCACTGGACACAGTCGTTAACACCCCAAGTTTTGCAGCTTGAGCAATGCAACACCAGGAGGAATCATCTTTAAAAGCCACGATCCCTTCTCCATTACTCATTTCTTCAATTAAACATGCTGCTTCTGTCAAAAATGAACCTTCTTCTGCCAAAAGGAAGCCCTCTTGTCTTCGATGGACCACCACAACAGAAACTTGCAGGACGTCTCAGCCAAAACCCTTTTCAATTAAAAGAACCCAAACCAAAACACCCCAACTCCTAACCCCAGGTTGCACTCTTTGGAATTCAACTTTATCAACTAAATATGGAGGGCTTGGGGTTATTTTAGTTGAAGACATGCTTTATCAGCTGTAAAGAACAGAAGACAAAGAATTGCTCAAAAAATAGCTCAAGAGTGAAGAATTGGAAAAGTAGTCTATGTCCTCATCAGTCACTTAGAGAGCAGCATCCCATCTAAAGGAAAGGGATAATTTTTGTCAGACTTTTATAAAAAAAAAGGCTTTATTTTGAACAAGTTTTCTCCATTTGGTTTTACAGTCTCAACATACATCATATTCATGGACAAGCAGCATTTTCACAGAATAAGAGCCAAATACAAAGAAGAGGAAGCCACTTGGGATGAACAGTTTCAACCTAATTGACTCAGACTTCAGAAAATCCTGTATGCTGTCCCTTATTTGAGGTAAAGGAATTCCATAAATTAAGATCCACTGTTCAACAGAAGAGTCAACAATGAAATATTTGGAAAGTAGGTACCTTGGAGAGGAGGGGAAAAAATAAATCTTAAAAGACATTGTGAGCAACAAGAGAAGGGGGAGGTAGAATTTCCACTTGTAGGACTATCACATATAAATGTTTAACCAAATTGGAGCAGTTTAAATTTCAAATTTGATGAACTTTGCTGGTAGTACAGTCTTAAAATGTGAACCTAACAAGATATGTCATGAGTTTAGTTTATATGCTGAATGCTGTCACTAGGCACCCATTAGAATATCCAGTAAAATCCACAGCTTTCAGTGCCCATCCTGATGTATTCCAGTTACATTGTTAATTTTTGGGCAGCCATGCAATCAGACCTTACAATTCCACATTTGGTGGAATTCAAGAGTGCTTAAGTAAAATTGTATTGGGGAAGAGAGAGAAATCAAACTTCCACTATCTGTTCATGCAAAAATATACCTGCAGACTAACAGGATTTAGATAAACAGATTAAAGCCATTACAGGAACACATTTGTATTGTTTTAAACTAACTTGTTTATATAGGGCAAATCAGTTTGTGTCATTAATCTGTGTAAAAATTATCTTAAACCTTTTAAACGGTATCTACATTGTGTTAGATACTGTTTGAAGAAAAAAAAAACAGAAAGACTATTCTCACCTTTTGGAGTTTAAGATTTAAATTAGCTCACTAATAATGCTGAATCTTACAGCAGAAAAAAAAATGGAACAGGATTAGTATTCTGTAAACTGCAAGAACTAAATTATCAATGTGAAATTCCTAATGCCTAGGAGAAATACGTTTCAGTTCAGCCATTTAATGCCAGGCACTGTTCAATTTCTTACAGTAAAAAGAAAGCATCATTTCCTTTACAGGTTTAACAGAATATCATGTGGAGATGTCAAGCTTCAACTGCTTGAGTGGTATTTCTCCAGAAAGGGTCCTGGCAAACTTAAGTTCCACAGTGTCATTGGCCAAACCATCCAGTGGAAACAAAATAAATTCAAACTGAACCTGGGGAAGAATTGAGTTGTAAGAAGCAAAGCAGATTCATTTAGAAAAGCTCATTTTTCAATGTTATTTTGTTTTCCAAGTTCCAGTGAGCAAAATGGTTTTACACTTAGATTAACAAACCAGCTTCTCTTTGCCTCTATGTGATGAATCCATATCCCTTCTATTTCCTTTTTTTTTATTTAATAACCATCAAGTTGCAGATTCATCATTTAGCAAGTTATCTGGCTCAGAACTAATAAAACTCTAATAAATTCTTTCCCCCACTGGAAAACTGTGTTGTATCACACAGCTTTGTGCACATAAAGTTATATCTTGCAGAAATATGATCGCTGACCAGAACAACTTGCTATGTTACACTTTGAATAACATGAACGAGGTGAAACTGCAACTCAGCCACTGTACAAACTGCCTCTCAAGATGTTCAAACACTTCCACTGGAGCTTTAACGCTTTGAGACACAACCTGTGATGTTCAGTGATTGTGCAATTCAAGCTCAGAAAAAGAAATACAAATTTGTGAATAAACTGACATCTGTCCATTAGCTTCTATCACACTCCAGACTATCAGAAAGCAAGTAAAGGTGGAAGAAAAGATTTATTTTCCACTAGCATCCAGTTAGTTTCCTATTACCTTGAACATTAACAAAATGCTTTTCAATAAATGAAGGTAAGAGAGCACAGATTAGAAAAAAAAAATCAATCAGTTAAGAAATTCAATCCTTGTATTTAGGACCTTGCATTTCCTTCAATAGCACTTCTGTATCATGCTGCATGGAGCAGAATTTTGGTGGTTTTTTTTGCACTAAACTCTCACCTGCCTATTATGAATAATTGCAATAAAAATATTACTTTTTTTTTCCACACTATGCTAGGCAACTTTCCAGCCAAAGACAAGAAATTTAGTCAAGAATTATAAAAACCTGAACTATGAACTCTGGCACAGCTGGGAGCAGCCACTCAGCTACTCCAGAGTGCTTAGAAAATAGGCAGCCAGGAGTAGCAACTCAACTACTCCGGAGTGCTTAGAAAATAGGCTTTAGATTTTACACCAACAAAAACTGGATTTATTGTAAATGCCACAGTCACATTGATAGACAGAGCACAGACTTTTGGTAACAAACAAACATACATTTTTTGTAACTAAGCGTTTCTACTCAGTAAATAAATGCGTTTCGCACAGCCTTCCTCTTAAATGTGCCTAAACTAACCTAAATAAGCAGACAGCATAGCAGAAAAGGGAAACTTTGTGAGTAACTGTTTCTTAAGCAGTATATTATTTTTACTATGTATATAATATATTTTATATTATATACACATACATTTTCATCAACAGTTCAAATTATACCCGAATAATCAAAAAAAAAAAAAAATCCAAACCAAAACCGGCGCTCCTCCAACACATTTACCACCTTTTCCTCAGGCAGAGTTAACCCAGGTATTTGTCAAGATAGAGGAATGACAGTTAAAAAGACTCCCCCCAACAAGAAACAAGTTACACAAAGAATACTGTATCACTACAAATTTTTTATTCAGAAGCCCATCTTTTAAAAAAAATGTCATTATGAACTTGTTTGGTCAAACTACAACACTTTCTAGCAGACATACGGTAAAAATGGCATGGCTCAGAATCGACCGGATCTTTCACGATCCCTTGACCGCCTCCTGTCGCGCTCGCGGCCTCCTCCGCCGCCGCCTCCGCCGCCACGGCCGCGATCTCTGGATCTAGACCGGCGTTCACGGGACCTCGACCTGGATCGATGCCTGCAGAGAAAAAAGTTGGAACATTTTAGTGTCTCATCCCAGCCAGCAGTTTACTTGCAGTACCAACACTTAATTAAGGATGTGAGTAATGAGGGAGAAGAAAGGCAGCGTGTCGTTAGAAGGGTTGGTTAATTAGCGCTCGGGATGCGAAACCACTGCACTAACTTAGAATGCCAGGGAGTCAACACACACTGGAACTATAATGGACTGTTTCCTGCAGTCACCTGTTAGAGTGGATCTGCAAACCTTAAGGAAAGGCAGGGAGAGGAACCAAAGGCACTGTTACAGCTGTTAATTAAAGAAGCAGGAGAAAGGGACACCTGCTTTGGCAGACAGGAACAGCTGTCAATGCCAAAAAGCCTAAAGCTGCTTGTAAGTCCACTCATATTAAATCAATTGCATTAATTAGCAATTACAACTCAGTTCTCTGTGGTTGTTCTCCCCTCTTTTTTTATCTACATCATGCCCTCCCCCCCAAGCCATCAGCACTGGCAAATCACCTTCCCTGCCTCTGAGACAGATGAAAAATTCAGGAACAAAGTTAAAACCATCCATTCCATCCTGCTAACAGAGCTACTGTGAATTTATAGTGTATATGGCACTTGTCAATGGTTTTAAGCATTTCAGAAAAATTGTATAAAACAAGTTAACAGTGCAGTTCTAAATACATGTAGAAATTACAGCAAAACTGAAAAAAACTCAAAGAAACAAACGCTAAAAGTCTTCAGTTTGCAGAATATTGTTTCGTAGTGAGATGTTTTGGGGTGGGATTATGTGTGGTGACATATATATGGTTTTACTATGACAAAGACATATACTTAAATCTTTCACACCACTCAGCTGGCCCAAATTACTAAATTTGGCTTTTATTCAAAAGTTCTGGTTTACCCTTCTTTTTCCTACTCAAAAACCTTCTGACACACTTCACTCTGTGCAGAACTACTTTCAGGACAGTCTAGTTTATACAACCTACCTGTGAAACCCCAGTGACACAAGAACTGGTATCTTTTATACCAAGCCTTACTGCTAACCTGTGACAGCTGCACAAAGACTTCAAATAGGCACAATAAAGACAAAACTGGATGGAGGATTCAGTATTTTATTTGTTTTAGCACATACTGAAATTGGGCTATGGATAAAACAATCATATTCCAAAGCCCAACATACAATTTTCTTGCAAAAAAAGGTGGGGTATCTTTTAATCAGCATTACTAAGTCTGAGAGATCCGCATTTGTAACAGTGAGGCAAATACAAAAAGCATATTTTGTCTTTTTCATGAATAATTCAAACATCTTAAAAACTTACATTTAAGTTAATATTATTTGGGATGATTTAGGAAAAGTATTTAGGCACAAATACATGTGGGCTAAGCAACGCAATCCATGTTTTTGAAAGTTAAATTCACCCTCACAAATTCTGAGATGCTGCCAATTAGAGACATTTATAGGAAAAACAAATCCACAATCCCAGGCTCCTTCTGTCATTGAAAGGAACCTACAAAATTGTGCTCTCTATAAAAGCAAGATCAACAATTTTCCATGCCTACACTAAATATCAAGGTCCTAAATGCAAGCAGATTGAATCCAGCTGCAAATGAACCATCGTAGTAACAGCAAGAGGTATAAGCCTTCCTACAAGGTACCTCACTAAATGAATAATTTAAAATATAACAGAATGTACTTCTCACATTTTTTTACCATTAAACAAGATTACTATTCTTTTTTCCTACTGAGAATTCCTATCAAGAAGGGTCACACTGTGAGGCTGGTTATTAATAAACAGTGAGCTCAATACAGTGACTGCCTGTTACTAACAGTAAGAAATGAATACAGGCTACAAAAATTAGCCATTAACAGTTAAAAGCAAACAAGGTTTGGTTCTGAGTATAATCTATAGATATGCTTGACTGCACAAAATGTTGAAAGAGGCCAATCTGATGCTGCCAAAATGCCCATTAGCAAAGCAGCCTGTGCCTGACAAAGGCCATGAGCAAACATATCTAGAAGAGAAAAAAACATAAGAGGCATAAAGTAATTTCTCCCAAATAATGTCCTTCTGTACAGTCTGCAGATCTGAGCTGCAGACAGGGCCTACATATTCAGTAAACTCAGTGAATTTTCCTCTCCCTTAACCCTGCCTTCTCCTAAAGCCACACCAACCTTGAGCACCCACAGCACTGCAGAGCAAGAAGCACCATAACTTTTTATTTAGAGACCTTCACCTTTGTTCTAAACCACTGGCCAACTTTACTTGATGCCCTTCCATTGGCACGTGCCAGAAGTGCATTAGAAAAAACAAGAACATTAAGTTTAAAGACCTGCCTTCAGATTTTTCAGCAACTGATCATTAATTTACTCATTTTAATGGTGTTTAAAAAGAAACTTACTTTTTACGACGACGCCCGTACAACTCACGTCTTAACTCTCGAGAGATGGGCTTCAAATGCATGAAGTTGCAGAAACCTCCTCGTGTACACTCTCTGAAACAGAATTCAAGAGGCACAGTTAGAATTCCCAGCTCTACACTACCTGTTTGGACTTTTAGACACCCAGAAGTTAATCACCTCTAACATTAAAACCAGCACATTACAACCATCGTTTACTGACAGTGACTCACTCCTAGGTCAAAAACCCAAAAAGATGGCAAAAGTCACGCGTTTCACCACAGGTCCTCCACATCAGTTACCTGAAGTGGTTTTCTTCCTACACTCAGCTACACATAAAAACCACACCCAAGCAATATCCCTGCCTGTGCAAACATTTCTCAGACACTGCCAAGGCCAGAGGAAGTCAGTGTTTTACCCCATTTCGTATTGACGGCAACAGGCCTCTCTGAAGTCAGTCACAGGCGAAAGCTCGGCATGGATGGGCTGCCCATTGAACCAGCGATTGTTCAGGTCAATCACAGCCTTTTCTGCATCTTCTTCACGGCGAAACTAAAAGCAAAAGTAACATTTTCTCACTCTATAGAGAAGTAAGAGAAGCAGATTGAAGATTCCCATCCAATCAGTTGTGCGATATCTGAGGCTCAGGGCCAGTCACGGAACTAGAAGCTACTTCAGAGTTCCTGGGACAGTCCATCAAATCAAGGGTAAATATGTCAACTCTTTATTAACTGGGACTCAGAGCTAATCAAAACATTGATTTTCCTCTTAATTATGTTCTCTTTGGTCTTTCAAGTGAAAAAGTTAGTCAATAAAAGCTACTGTGTTTTCTTAGTACAGCTTTAAAGCAAGAGAATGCTTAGAAGTACTTTCTGGAACACCAACACTCCTGAGGTAATGGATTTCTTCAAACATTTAAGAGAGATCTGTAGGAGAACTGAAGCTCTCATTCATTTAAATCAGAACTTACAAAAATTTGATCCTGTTTCATGATGAATGTAAAACATTTGAAATGCCTTTTCACAGCTAACCACTTTCAAATCTTTAAAAACAACTTTGGGTTCTGCTTATGACCAACACAGGTATGAAAATACTTTCCAGTTAAGGGAATGCACAATCCAAATATTCAAACAAACTCTCTCACACCTCCCCAACACTGCACACACAATAAAATTTCTGCAGGTGACAATTTTGTACTGGTTATTCAAGAGATACCAATGACTTTTAAAAGCTAAACCCAAGTGCTCCAGTTTGCACCTTAAACCACGCAGCTAGTGCCAAATATTACAGGATTACAGGATACTGTGTTCAACTGGAAGTTAATAAATAAATGCACCTGTTGCAAATAAACCTCTTTCATAATGAAGTGCTTAAAGGGCAGCATGATGGCAAGACAGATCCCAAATTAATCCTGTCAAACTAAATAGTCCAGCAGTACAGTGTTGATAACTGTGCTAAAAAAACAAGTGTAAATCTTTCTGAAAATTACAAATTTTGACTATCAAGAAACTTTCTCATAATCCATTAAAATTTCTTTCAGATTCCTTTCACATTTTCACTCTACTTTAAATCAAGATATTGGAGAGCTTCTCCTGCAAAATCTAAAGCATACAGTAGCTTTTATAAATGAACAAACCCCACCCCTAGCAATTACATAAAGATGCCCCTTTATCCTACCTTTACGTATACATTTCCAACTAGATGATCTCCAAGGTTATCACACACGTTCATCTCCTCAACTTCACCGTATTTCTCCTCCATTTCTGTGAAGACCTCCTAAGCACAGAGAAACCCATTACAAGGTTGCAGCACATTAGTTCTGAGTACAGAAATGTTGTATTTAGCCATAAGTATGAAAGATAACTTTCCTTAGGGAAAAAAAAAGCAAAATCACTGTGTTTTTTACATTTCTGATTTTAAAGTTAGTACTTGCTTGGCCTGTACCGTGTCCATCTGTAGGTACAGCACTAACAAGATACAATAAAAACCTATGGAAAACATTATGCAAACAGTATTTACACAATACATAAGATGCACTGAAAACACAACATATAAACCTTGATGCTATAGTTTCACTTTCTTTCTGTACACATAATTAAGTATATTCTGAATTCATAAAAAGGAAGCAGATTATAGAATCAAAATGCTACATCGCTTAAGCTGCTGATTTTGATTAAATTCTATTTCAAACGGCAAAGTTAAAGCCAAACTAACCAAAGGTTATACCAGGAAATATTTAACACTGCTAAATAAATAAAGCTGTCAGTTTTATATGAACACTTGAGGAAATAAGTGCTTTTGTCTGAATCCACCTCACTGTGCTACGCACTACATCCATTTTCACTTGTCTGCGGTGACAGCTCCACTAACACTTTAATGCATTTTTACATACCTCAAAGAACTCATCATAATGTTCCTGCATCTCAACATCGCTCACAGCACCTGCAAAAGTCAAAGAGTCATAGTGATTAGAGCCTGCCAATAAGGAAGAAGAGATTTTGATCATACTACAAAACAATCTAGAGAGGCCGTCTGGAGCATAAGAGACACCATATAGCATGGAGCTAACTAATAGGAATATTAAAAAATAAGGATGTGTGAAGAGCTTTGAGTCCCCAAAGTATCTGTCAAAACATTACATTGATATGATCAAATCAAAGCAAGTTTTAATCAGAGCCAAGCTTGTATGCCACAAATTCAAAGGAAGGGGAAAGGAATTCCTTTGAAGTATCACTTTAAATTTAATGTACAGTCCCACTCTCTATCTACTAATAATTTTACCTAAACAGAAGGCAAGTGCTTTGTTACATGTCCATATTTTAAGTATTATTACAATTTAGTGTTCCTCTTCCTAAAGGCAGAATTTTATGTCCACCTCTCCAGCATATCCACTAGAATTTGAGTTCACAATGTAACATAGCCCAGAATTATTTTTTTTAAATTTGCTCAAAATAGTTATTGAAATGACACACTTTTCTCAGTGCCCTCGAAGCAGGGTACCATAATGCTTTGCAAGAGAGAACAATTTTCTATTTTAATTTTGAATATAATTTAAGTTTTTCTGTAGTCCTGCAGAACACCTTTTAGTGCAAGACAAGCCAGCCACATATTCAGGTTAGATTATTTTCATGCTCCAAGCTGGACTTTAAAAATGAGTGCTGCTTGCCTGCTGCTACAAAAATCAATGTAAGTTTGGCTTATTTTTCAAAGCATTAAAAGTATAAAAATGTATTTCATTTATTTCTTCCAGTCTACAGCACTTTAAACATGTTGTATTCATTAAAGTCTAATGTATTAGCTCTTCAGCAGTTAAGTGGCTTATTAAGATCAAGCGGAGCAGTTTTAAAACAAACTCCACATTTTATGCTAGAAAAATATGCTGGTGTTTAAATTAGAAACATTGCTGCTTTAGTTCACAGAATGTGAAAGACAAAAATCTGAGCCAATAAAGCACTTTCAGGCTGCTATGAAAAAATAGATGCTTTGGGCTCAGTCATTTTTGGCTATTATTACCACTTGAACAAAGTTTACATTTTTCTTCAAAGGCTCTAATATTAACCAGCCATATTCTCTGGAACTGCAGGTCCTGTTCTTCCACCCAGCTCACTTCCAGAAGAGGCTAAGGAGCATTTGGTTTATAGTTTAGGCTAACAATACCTCTGCATTTGAAACGTTATTTGCTTTTAAGAAATTTCTCCTTCCCCATGGTTATATTGCAAATTAAGGAATATCAAACATTAAACCAGTATTTCTAGGCAGTTTAATACTTAACTATATTCTCAAGGTTCTGCCAACACCACTGATAACAGCTTACTAATACCTACGGATTTTTTTTTGCTGTTGTTGTTTTTAAAGGTATCAGACAGGGGCTCTGTGAGCCACATTGGGAGTAGCGACTTGTTACCAGATGGATAAGTGCCAAAAACTTTTAAGGAGATTCCATTGTCAAATTAGGAGATCATAAGCAACAGTTAATTAATGACTATTCAATGTCCTTCTAAAGTGGGAAGCATACATATGCACAGGCTTTACAAACATCCATATTATTCCAGGGCTACTGGTATCTGAACCTTGAGAAGCCCCAATTACTAATTAAAATACTCAGGAAAACTATTGCTGTTCAAAACTAAGGTTAATCCTCTACGACGGCAATAGAAAGGAAGACAGTTAAGCAACAACGACAAAGCATTAAATAGCTACCCAAGTTATCCATTGAAAATACATGCAGTACTTAAATAGGGACAAATACCAAAGTAACAAGGAGCAAGGAGTTCCAGCAAACCTACTGCTTGCAGAGCTCCAGCTCTACCCCAGGAGGTACAGTGAGGCTCTGGTACACAGCTTGTCACAACAAACTAGAGTTGGATACCAGCATTTGCAACACTGGAGAATCTGTTGAGGACTCTTGCAGCTGTAAATCTAAACAGCTCCACAGACCAAACTGCTGTCACTCTGTGCAAATTAGTTACCAGCGCATTGAGAGTTTAGGGAGAGAGGGGAAATACCCAACTGGAAATTTTGTGGTCTACTGAAACAGCGTTAACTACTAAGCATCTGCAACAAGAGAGCCTACAAACCAATAGAACTGCTTAAGCATCCAGACAAAATTACATAGCTCATTGCAGGTCTAGTGTGACAAAAACTCAAATCATTTAATTGAGCTATTATTACTTTTAGAAGCAAGAGAGGCAGTGTTGACTTTCAAGTTAGTGGCTGATTTCACAAGGCACTTCTAATCAAATGCTGGTAACTAATCTGAACTAGTCTATAATCCAACAGTAAAAAAAAAAAGGAATAGCCAAACAAAGCTTTATTACCACACAGTCAATACTCACTTCAACAAGAAATATTAGTTAGAAAAGAACACCGACCCTTTTTTGGTCCTAAAACTTTTTTTTTTTTTAATTTTATTCTAATATTGATGATTCTGTTACACTGATATATCAATAATCGCCGATCAGTCCTGGTCATTAACTGCTGCCAGTCTCACAGGAAGTGCGTTTGCTTTTATGCCCATTTTTATCTGAGGAGGAGTCATTAAATTACTTTGTGACCATACCCAAATGTCTTCCCCTCCTCAAAAGTACTTTTAAAAATACATTTTCTTAGTTAAAATGCCACTTGGCTTTGGAATTTGAATTTTCAAAGTTTGGAAGGAATTTTAAGCACGCACCCATCCAAAAAGGACAGCTGCCAGAAGGGAAGCGTTTGTCAGTCATGGTATATTCCTTCCAAATTGCACTCCCTAAATGGAAGCTGCATTAACCTGGGACAAATTTCTGCATGCAGTCTGAGAAGTTTCAAATTCAAGTTTTCTTAACGTTTACAGAGCAGGAAGTTTGTTCTGGATGAAGTCAATGTGTCATTGTCCTGCTCTTTAGACAGTGGAACTTTATGGATAGCACAAAACATACAGAAAACCACTCCTAGGATGCAGGCAACTGGCAGGGAGAAAGGTGACAGGAAGACAGCAGTGCAACCAAGACTGCTTCACTGGGGAAGTACAATTTCAACCCTTTTCGATTTAGTAGTTGGTATTCAGATTCCCCTCATAGTTTTGGGAGCAGGGAGGAAGGTGAGTGGGACAAAAAAAGTTTGGGGTTTTTTTTCCTCGGTTTTTTTTGTGTTTGTTTTGAACACATTTAACAAAACGTGGTCAGTTTGATCTGTTAAACTAAAATGGCAGACCAGCTTAAGTCGACACTGAGCTCTGACAATCAAGCCCAGGGAACCAGTGAAGGAACTTGTATGAACTTACAGCGCAAACCGTCAGCAGACTGGGAAGAGTTTTGAGGGTTACGGTAAATGTTCAAGAGGGCAATGGTCTGAAATACAAAACGCAACAACTTTATATTATGGAAAATAATTTTAACAAGAAACTGGTTTCCTTTAGGGTCGCTTTGGCCGAGTCTGTGCTGAAAGAGAGGTGGTTATTCTCTCCCAAGAAGGAGAACTTTCACTTAGCTGGTGACCTTTCTAAATCAACCTAACACTGTAAAGTAATAGAGATCTCATGACACTCCATTATTGTATTTTATTCCATTCACCAATATTACTACAGAGGGGTTTTGCATGAATTCAGACAGCTCTGTAATAGGTGGCATCCACACACCATTTACATTACAAGTATAGTAATTTGAATTTGGTTTTATTGAATGGTTTCTTAGCAGGAAAGGAAGCAATACAATAATTACAGCATAACATGAAATCTCCATTTTCCTAAAAAAGTTACCTAAAAAAGTTAAGATGAAAGAAAACCCAGTTTTGGGAAACTTACCGTACATCACGTATATACCTATTTTTTTTAATTTTTTTGTTGTTGTTGTTGTTAAATCAAGAATTTGAGAAATGTCTGCAGTTTAACTCTTTACAAAGAATGCAGTGTTACTCAGAAATCAAGCTTCACTTTGTAACACAAAAGGGAACCTGCATCAAGTCCAATTTATGCAGCCACTTATGCACTTGGAATTGCACACGTTCCCCAAATTCTTGATCTGTGCGCAAGAAGAGTTCCATCACTTGTCCTGTTTGCAACAGCTTTATGTCAGCAGCTCAGGAGCCAACATTATTTTCTCATAATTAGGAGTGGGCTCTTTAACACCATTCTTTAAAAAAATTTCTCCAACTGTGGGACTTACAGTGTGAGCCGTCAGCCGTCTGTGCACTGTTTTGGGGGTTACGATAGATGTTTTGAATCAAGATGGTCTGCGGGGAAAAAAAATAAAAAGGGGAATTCTACTGGCTGCTGTGCATATAATAGACAATTGCAAAGAGACAACTTGTTTGCAAACAGCTAAAAGTCATATTTTATCCTTAAAGACTTCCTTTTGTATTTGCAGAGTATCTTCCAAAATTGCATCCAGACCATCATATTATGAAAACAGTTTTAATTAACCACCAAGAAAGAGCTGCGTTTGTCTCAACAGCTATCCTCAAAATGGGAGGTGTGAGGCACAGTAACCTAAAACGTCACACGAGGTGTCCTGGAGATGCCTAAGCCCTCGAGACCAGATTCACTACTGCAAGTCTAAGGGGGAAAAAAGTAGTGTTATGTGCACAGCATGTAATACATAATGCCACAGTCTCCAAAGTGCTACACCAGACAGTGAGGCCTTTAGGCAACAGCTACGTCTCGTTTTGTGCGTCAGGAATTTCTTGGTGGAATTTCTGTTTAAATAATATAATAGCACATCATAGGTTCACATGTTTCCGATCCTTCAAATAAGGACAATATCCTTTTAGCCCTTCTGCTTTTTACTTGAAGAATTAGCCCAGGCAGACTTGAAACCTTACATTTGAACCGTTCTTCTTAAAATCAAGTTGTCTGAAAAAACAAACCATGTTTAAGTTAGTAAACTAATATTACAAAAAAATTCCAAACGTCCATATCACTGTAAGCAGCTCAAAAATTGAAATTTGATTACTTAAAATACAAGCTTAATGTTAGTCAATATGAATGGCAATCCCCAAGTAATTTTAGCTTACACATTATTATTAGTCACAATAAGAATTCAGAGCTTAAAGGAGTCACAGGACCAGCAATGCCACACCTACACATGCTGCCCATTTAACACGTAAAAAAAAAAAATCACATTTAAAATCACACACATTTTCTAATGGGTACAGTCATACCAACCAAAGCTTTGTGCTTCCATGGCCCAGGTTTAAACTACCCATGATTTAGCCTACAATTGGAGACCGCCAGAAACATGCATCTAGTTCTGGTGTTCCTGCTGACTGGGGGTAATTTGATCACCCTGGATTGCATGACCTTTCCTAACACAGCTCTTCTGTAAAGTAGCTGCACCAGCAAGAGCTGCACAAGGTAAAAATGTTGTGCTGAAAACTTCCCATTAGTGAAGTCTCTGTTCTTCTATTTTCTATCACAGCTGATTAACCACCTGCACACAAATAAAGATTTCTGGGGTGAGCCCTGCACAGTGCCAGGTACGGTGCTGTGCAGTCCCAGACATCCCCGGATGAACGGGACACACCTGACCCACTTCAGCTGGCACTGCTAAACAGAGTCTAAAGCAGAGCTTAAAGCTGCACTGACAGAGGAAGTTGTACTTGCAAAGTTTTATTGTTAAAAAAGGATTTAGGGGAGGTGGGGGCTTTGTGTTAGGTTTTTGGTGGGTTTTTTTAACCTAAAAGGCAACTACTTGTCTGATTTAGAAATATATTCTAGTAGCCAGTGACCTAAATTCAGGTCTCCATATAACCAATCACATTTCAGCAGGTGCTCCATGTAGGTCAGCAACACAGAATAGTTTTGAAAATGGACAATATTCTTTTTGAAATAAAATATTTGCATTAAAAATCATTAAATTCCCAGAAGTAGGGAAGTGTTTTTGTAGCTGAAGTACCAGCAGCAGCCCCCATGGATAAGCAACCTTGACATTCCCCCCTGGAACTCCCCCTGCCCACTCACAGTTTAACTTGAGGAGCACCACAGCTCTGAACTTGTCACATGGATAGGACTTGCCTCCTTAATTTCTCCCCAAACCAACATCAGCCCACCATTCTCACCAATTCTGCTCCAAGGCAGATGAGATGAACTTGCAGAAGATCTATTCTTATGTAAACTTTATCTTTGTAGACTGCTGATAAGGCAACAACTTTCAAAGGCACTACTTCTAAAGTGCAATATTCCCAAAGAAATCTATTTATCTGTGTACCTTGACAATCAGCAGTGATAGATACAGGGAAAACAAAGTTCTCCAAGAATGTAATTTGTGAAAACTATAGAGCTCACAGTAATAAAAAATTTGTCACTCACTGCACTTTTTAAAATTTATTTTTATTTCTGGCAGATATGCAGTCACACATAATGTCTCTAACAATATTCACTTAGCCAAAGATTCAATAATCTGTCATGTCAAGTGACAATTCACCCTCAGCAACCAGGCAAGTCGTTTTTTAATAACCCATTTTTACAACATTAAAAGGAAGTATGCAATTCACTCTTGAAACTTTAGAGCCTGGGTCAGAGAGCAAATGTAATGACAGATGAGTGACTTCTACTCATCAATTAGTTTACTTCTACTATATGCATGAAAGATTAAAGTTCCCATCTTTGGGACAGGTGGAACTTGCTGCCATTGTCTGTGCTTTAAAAAATCTGGGATGGTTTAAGTGCCTGAACACCACTGAGAAGGCACACTCACCTGAAAGTTAGCACTGGTTGGTCTCTACTACAGGCAAGCTTACAACAGCATCGCTTCCTGCAGCCATTAAGGGTGACAGGAGATAATTAGAAATGCTGGGAGAAGTAAATGGAATACCCCCAAAAAATCAAAGACCCAGATAAACTGGGGCCAAAAGTGAACTAGTTAATCTGGAGCTCGCTAATTATTCACTTGTATCTAAGAATCTACGTTTTAAAGAAGCCAGAATATACTTCCACGAGAAAGAGGAAACAAAAGGGAAACAAACCTGGCTAAATGTTGGTTTGTTGTGCAATCGAGAACATCTGTCTCCATGGCGACAAGCTCCAATTTTGAAATAAAATGAACAGTTGACTCTGCAAGGGAAATAAAAAATAAAGTAGTTACATACTGGAATAGAAAACATTAATATGCAAAAAAGCATATGCCCTAAATGTCTTTATCTTGATGTGGAGAAGTAACACAGAAAGGAAATCCACACCAAATGCACAGGGAAGTATTATAGCAAACCTGTCCACACTCACTCCTTTTCCACCTGACTTACAGGCAGAATCTGACTGATTTCACCCTGAGTGGTTTCATGATTCACCACACACAAATGATCACTGTTTTACCCTTCTGGTTCTCCATCCTTGTCTCTACACCAGTTTCAGTGGGTGCTGGGATGGGAAGTGACGTGAAAAACGGTCTGATAATTTACACTACACGAGCTCTGTGTCTGAGTTCATGCAGCCCCTGCTCCAGGCAATAAAACCTGCTTTAGAGCTGACACCGTTGCACCTCTCTCATGTTTTATAAACCACCTGTTTAAAGTTATACTCTAAGGGTAATTCAAGCTACTGCCAACACAGTACTGGATATAAACTCAGGGAAGAGAAAAATCCTGTTAGAGAGAGAATACAAAGAAGCAAAATAAATTCATTTAATGAAGCCATTTCCATGAATATAGTCAATAATTTTAAGAGTAAGCTTTTTTTTTTTTAAACCACAAGCTTTCCCTGAATGATCCATCTCATGGCACCTTCAAAACAATGCTGGTTTAGAAATGCCAGTAAAACTCTCACAAAAAGGTGTAACTCACATGGAATGATGAAAGAAAACCATAAGGAGTTCAAGTTACCTTGACAGGGAAATGCAAAATTCTGAAGAGCAAGAAAGCTACTATGGGTTATATATGGGTAAGTGAAATATTAGAACTCTCCTGGAAGAAAGATTATCATTCCCGTAGTTAAGGCTAATTATTTCCACAATCCTGGGTAACCAACATCAACTCAAGGAGGGGAGAATTATTTAAGTACTAAAGCATATCTGGTCTCTAGCAAAACATTCTACTGTAAATTTACAACATGCTTACTCTTCATTATGTTTTTGAAAACAAACACTTAGCATTATAATATACTTACTGTCTTTTCTGAACTCTAACCTGAAATAAAAAGAAATACCTAACTATAAAATTTCCAATAGTGCTTCCAACTTCAGCACCTTCTGGAAGGTTCCGTTTGCTTTTTCTAAACAGAAAATAAGAGCTGCACAGGAATTTCGTGCCTGATTAATACTGTGGAACTGTACTGCATTACATTCATATGTATCTCCTTTGTGAGAAAGGACGCTACAGTAACAGAGCTCAACAGAGGCTGCCGATCTGCTTTCCCGGAATGGCAGCACTACAGAGCAGAGCAGAAGCCCCATGGCCAGGGGCTGACAAGAGTAATTTAGTCCAGCAGCACATCGACGCCCCCTTTTCATTTTTACGAGTGGAAAAACACGCCGGTTTGGTCAGGCCGGTGGTGACCAAATTTTCGTTAGGAGGGTTTTGTGTGTGTGCTTCCAACAACCAGAGAAACTAGAGGCGTTCCCGGACGCGTGGAAGGCTGCAGGCAGAAGCCTGTAGGATCAGGATGCAGCAGTCGGGGAAATCCTCCGCACCCTGGGGAGGGGGGAGAAATAACCAGTCGCTGTCCTTGCAGCAGAGCGGGAGCTCTCGGGCTGCTGCGAGGCGCAGGGACACGAACAAAAGGGGAACAGGAGGAGGAGGAGGCGCTTTCTGGCAGGAGGCGGCGGGAAGCTCCGGCACCCAGCGGGCCCGGCAGGAAGGCGCAGCCGCGGGGGAAGGACGGTGGAGGGAAGGACGGGGGAGGGCGGTACCGCACCACGAGGCGCGGGCACACCCGCATGGCGGCCGGGGGAGGGGAGGAGGAAGGGGAAGAAGGGAAGGTCCCCGAGAACGGCCCCGGCCCGGGAAGGGGGGCTGGGGAAGGAGAGGGGGGGGGGGTTTTTTGGGAGGGGGGAGGGAGTGAAGAGCGCGGGCGGGGCCGCCGGGCGCGCGCGCGGGAACGCGCGGGGCCCGCGCGCGGACGCGCGCGCGCTCACCCCCCTCCTCCCGCCTGGGTGGCGCGCGCCGCGCGCACGCGCGTTCCTGAGGGGGGGGGGGGGGGGGGGGGGGGGGGGCGGGGGGGGGGGGGG